TTATGTTTTATATTATATATATTATGTTGTATAAAAGAGTTCATCATATGGTTATTTATATAATTAAAAAATATTAACAGTAAATTTTATAATATATATAGTAAAATAATATTAATATACTTATTTATAATAATATTTTTATTAAAGACGAGGCTATTTATATAATTAAGAAATATTAACAGTAAATTTTCTCATATATTGTAAAATAATATTAATATACTTATCTATAATAATATTTTATTAAAAATGAGGCTATTTATATAATTAAGAAATATAACAGTAAATTTTATAATATATATAGTACTTATTTATAATAATATTTTATTAAAAATGAAACATATATAAATGTGGAGGACTATTTGATAAATAAAAAAGTTCAACTCCATTTTGAGTTGGTTTACTCCATATTTGGAGTAATCATGTTTGTTACTCCATTTTGGAGTGAGTTTTGGAGTAGGGTTGGAGATGATTTTACTGCAAAATGAAGTTTGGAGTGGGTTTTGGAGTGGGGTTGGAGATGCTCTAAGCCGAAGAAAATATATCGGCCGATCGAACTCCAGATCAATAAATTTTCAGCTTTTTCCCTTTCCCCAACCTAAATCTATATATGTTGAGATTCATGGCCAAGTCCTCACATCGTCATCCCCAAAAGCACCAGCATGATGAAACTCCAAGGCTAAAGCACGGCTATGATATCAAGTGGGATGGGCACCTTTTTATTTTATCTTCAGTTCTGATTGCTTCTTAATTAATAAATTTCACAATTTGAACATATCTCTGTTTCTTATGCAGATCAACCATTAAAAAAAAAGAATGTGATGAGATTGTTGATACAGATGATCTTCGGATGGAGTAAGGACGAGGATGATAATGAGGAAGATGACCAAGAAGTAGATCACCGAAATAGAGCAAAAAAAAACGGTATATATGGTTAAACGACTACTCTCTGTTTGTATTATAAAACTAAAACCACGAAATCTGATTTTCATGGTTTCACTTTCTTTTATTGTAGTCATCAGATGGGATGTTAGGTTAGTTTACTCGGAACCATTGAAGGTTTTATATTAGTTTATGACTTTATATTAGAAAATTTACATTTTCGTTTCCTTGACACAGAGAGATTAAGAATTCAAGGTTATCATCCATGCTTTTGTAGTTGTGACTTGACATACAGTGGCTGAAGAAAACTGGACTAGGTGAGATGCTCAGAGGTGTCAACTGTTTCATTTTGTTATAAGTGTGGTGTATTAAGCTATATTTATTTTTTGTTATTTAGAAATTATTTGCATTTTGTAAAATTATTTAATTTATCTAAATAACTTAAAAGAAAATTGTTAGAAATAATTAAAAAGATGAGAGCTAATATTTTGTATTGTTTGGACACAAGATTAATTATAGTACTGTTTGAAAACATTGATAGTAGTATAAAGAAATGAGTATATTGTTCGGAAACATAGATATAGTAGTATAAAGAAAGGAATATCAAAGATTTAGAGAGTTAGTGTATGTTTAGTTATAAAGTAAGAAAGTGTATTTAATTTAAAAACTTACAAAATAAAAGTTAGGTCCAACTCAATGTTTCTATTTTAAATAAGATAGATAAGCTAGGGAAGCATAAAATTGCTTGAAAACTCCAATACATAATTAGAACCTAGATAAACGATTTGTAACGTTTTAAATATTTATGTGAATCTGCGTTGAGACATTTAGAAATAGCTAGCAAAACATAAAATAACTTCAAATTTTCAATACATAATTGTGATCTTAGTTATGAGGTTTCTGAAAAACATATGTAGGAACGGAAACATAGAATACCAAAACAGAAAAAACAAAAATAGATAAAAAAAAAACTTGGAAAGCTAAAATAAAAAGAGTCTTTTGTTTAACGTAGGATAAGGTCAATGCTGGGTAGTTTAGTTGAAACGTGGGCGCTTGCAATCATTCTTCTCGTTCTAAGACACAGTTGAAAACTCGACAGCGGAGTTTTCCTCTGCAACTGCAGTTGCATCATTGGTTTGGATGGTTGGTTGTACCAAGGTTGGATCCTTATGAATATCAGCATCAATAATGCGGGATACAGTAGCTGTTGATGAGAGGTGATTTGAAATTAAAGTTAGTGACCTTCACTTGGAACTTGCAAGTGCGTCCCACATGAATACTAAATAAAAATGTTAAAAACCCACAACATCCGTGTTAAATAAAAATGTTAAAAACCCACAACATCCGTGTTAAATAAAAATGTTTAAAACCCACAACATCCGTGTTTATAAATATAGATCAAACATCCAGTCGACTAAGAAAAAAAAAGATGTTTGTAAATATATAGCCACTTTTCATTATCATCAAGCACCCAGAACCTGATAAATGTAAAAGAGGGAAGTTATTAGAAGTTATTAGAAAATATTGAAGTTCAGGAATTGGGCAAATTAGAGAATATCTCAAAATTAGTTTGAATCTCTTGTAATAATAATCAATGATTCATAAAAGAACAAATGATGTTATAACATCTAAACGTTTTTAACAGTTATATTAAGATTATATCTTAACTTTTTCTTTATTTTTCCTTATTTTATATTTTCTAACTTTAAGTTTTGCTGTTGTTAGATTTGTTTTTGAACCAATGTAAAAAAAGAACATGTGGATGTACTGAAGATGGTGAACCCGAATCATTTTCCAAAATAATCAATGAACCAATATTCAGAAATACATATCTTTCGATTGAAATATCTTGATTAATAAATCTGAATAAATTGTTCTAAGCTTTACATGAACTGGGCAAATAATTAGATATGTTTTAAACCAAAGTTCAAAATGTAATTTCAACTTTACAAGTATTAAGTAATTCAAAATAGTAAAAGTTATATTGTAAGATGAGTTGACTATAGTTAATGTTTAAATTTCAAATGTAGAGATATGATGGGCTATCTGTTTTTATCATTTTGAGGTGGATCAAGTAGAAGCTAGTTTGGAATGCGAGGAAAACAGGGAATTAACTAATTGAATGTGTAGAATGTCTAAGTTTGTATATATTTAAATCACAATAATGATTAACTGGTGAGGGTATAACCAGAGAAAATGTGAGCTAAATGTTAGTTAGTTAATAATAACAAAATCAATGTTTTATACTTAAGTTAACTTCAAAATATCGTCAGATAGCAAATAAGTCCTTACTGACAACGTTAAGATTCATGTCAAATTCTCTGTAATGCAAAGGTATTCGCTTCTCTTTTTTAATTGAGGTATTTGATAGCGGATGATTAACAGCTAATCCAGATTCTACATCCTAGACAGCCTGACATCACCAATCATAGTAATATTAAAAAAAAGGGTGATCAACACCAATATTCAGATACATACCAGAACCCTTGGGGTACAACCCAACCAAAAAACCAGCACAACCAACTAGTCAGAAACACTTGTACCTAAAGACAACACCCAATGCTTATACCCCTACATTCACATCCAAAAATAAGGAAATCCAGTTACCATAGATCAACCTAGATAGAGGGAAATACTTCCTCATTCCCAAACACATGTCGCAACCTAAAAGGTATGATTCTTATTAATTAATCTTATGAACAATGCAGGAAATTTATTACTCAGCCTAACATCGAATATTGAAACCTTCTTCATACTCCATATGTTATTAGTCAAATTAAGTTTGAAGCAGTACATAAAGACCAAGATTAAATTCAATACGATAACAATACTTTAAAAAAATAAAATAAAAATATCTTCACGTGTCTTACTATTGTTGAAATTTTTCACTTAATTAGTTTCAAATCATATAGGAATATTTAAAATAAACAAAAACAAAATTAAAATAAGAAAACATCTAGTTATTAGTGAAAGGAAATATATATAAATTAATAACACACAAATCCAGTCTCTATAAGTCTAATTAATTAATGAAAGGACAAAAAGAAATAAAACAAAGTTAATGTTAAACTGAAAAAGCGATGCTCCAGAAATAGAGTGGTGGTCTATTGGTATGTGTCCACAATCGGAGGTGGGTTTAAAAGAAACCCGTCGTGAAGAAAGATCATAACCAACCAAGAAGTTGTTATGTGCTTTGTTACCAAAAATAGCTTGATTTGGTGCCAACGGACCACCACATACAATAATCAGACAAATGGCGCCTTCTCCATTTAATCCCATATACGTATTGTTTTTACCCAAAACAAGATCCGCACCTCCACTGAAATGCATTGTGATCACTGGAAAGATATCCATCGTGTCCGTTTTGTAGCAAAGCATGTCCAAGTTGTCGTAAGTTACTCGTTCCGCTCTAGCAACCTTTTCCACTGCCTCCCTCACTAGGCTGCAGTAGCTCGCGGGCAAGTAGGTATAAGCGCTTCCAGAGTCTATGATCATGTTCCCGTCTACTGCGTGGAACGGTGTCTCCAATGTTTCAATGCGAGTCTCCTCGACGCTGACCGCCTCTAGGTTTAGGTAATAGAACCAAGGTTCCTCCTTGTTCATAAACATAGGGGTCGATACAGTCCCTTCTCCTGACACAATAGCATTACTTCCAAAGTGTATCTTACTACTTCTTCCCTCAGGGGAGAAGCAGTAAGAAAATGCACCTATGTCCATCTGAATATTTTACATTTTAAGTGATAAATTTGTAATTTTGATTTTTGGTTTTTCATTCTGATGTTCCATTAATGGAAATTATAACACTTCGTATATATATATTATAGTGAAATGTATATTTTACCTAATTATTAACGTAAGTTTACTAATATAAATATATATGATATGACTTTTCTACACCCCCAATTTATATCGCGACTAGAGAGTTGGCAAATTTGTGAAAAAGTAAAACTTGACTACAACCCTGATTCTTTTTTGGTTATCTTCGGTTTTAGCTATAATACATCGAATTGAACCAAGATTGTTGATTTAGGTCGGAGGGTGGAGAGAAGTATATGAGGGATTAACGTTCGTGACGGTGAGAGGAGCAGGTCACGAGGTGCCATTGCTCAAGCCACGTTCTGCTTTCGAACTATTCAAGTATTTCTTGACAGTCAAGCCACTTCCAAAGGCTTGAAAAAATCCCAAATTAAGATCAGATCTTGTAATATTTCAAAATTGTGGCGCGAAAAAAAAAACTAAATGTAAACTTTGGATGATGATTTATGAGTTATGAGATGGAATTATATCAATTCTAATTTAATGACTTACCATTTTGTTATGATTACAATAATGTACTAACCTAAGCGCACTTATTTTCGTATCATACAAGTCAAGCTTTGGTATCAAATTAGTCTTGATTCCCAAAGGAAAACGACAAAACTCAAATAGGTACTACACTACTCTTAAGAATATTCGTTGTCCTTTCATTTTGTCATCATCTTCTAGGGGTTACTTCTAATGTTAATAATATATCTAAAGTGTTTAAAATAATATACAAATTTTAATGAAATATAATTTTATAATATATCTAAAGTGTTTAAAATAATATGCAAATTTTAATGAAATATAATTTTATTTAAAATAAAATTGAATTGACCCGCGCTTTGCAAACGTAGAAATATTTTTGATAAAAAATTTCATTAATAATTAACAAATAATTTGTTAATTTTTTTAAAAATCTGTATTTAGAATATTTTTGTATTTAGATCAGTGTTTTTGATGCGCAAACCCGCAGTTTAACTAGCTAAGTGATCCAATAATTCGATTTAGATTTTTAAAAATATCCATATTAAAAAAATCACTAAACACCCAGACCAACCGATTGAACCGATGGATAACCGATATGTAATATTTAAACTTGTAAAATTAAATTTATTTATTTTTTGTTATTTTATAAATTATTTGAAATTTTGAAATTATTTAATTTATCTAAATAACTTGAAAGAAATTGTTAGAAATTATTAAAAAGATGATTGTTTGGACATAAGATTAATTATAGTATTTGTTTGGAAACATTGATAGTAGTATAAAGAATAGAGTATATTGTTTGGAAACACGGAAAATAGTATAAAGAAAAGAATATTAGCGATTTAGTGTAGGTTTAACTATAAAGTAAGAAAATGTATTTAATTTAAAAACTTACAAAATAAAGATTACGTCCAACCCAATGTTTTTACTTTAGTAAGATTGATGGATAGGCATGCCAATAAAACTTTTTGAGAACATCAATAAATTAATAAGAAAAAAGAACATCAATAAAATATTTTTTGTAGTGATATACTTTTTGTTTAATGGATGGGCATGCTCTAAGATTATTTGAAACCAAAAAAAAAACCTATACCTCCCCGGTTTAATTTCAAAACCTACATAAAGTTCGATTGTAACTGGTTTAGATACAAAACCGGTATTATAAACAAATAAACCAAAGAATCTTCGGTTAGTTTTAAAAACCGGTCTCCTTTGATTAATTCTGTCGTCGTCAACCGTTTCCTTAAACCCAGAAAATAAATAAAATAGTATACACATTCTCTCCGCAGAAAGTAGAAAAACCTTCTCGAACACGAACAGTTTCTCGGAGCGAATCGATCAAAATGGTTTGGGGTCTCTTTCCCGTTGATCCTCTCTCAGGTTACCTTTTTTTGTCTCTCTCTCTCTAACTCCTCCTGTCACCGTATGTATTTTATTTAAGAGTGTGAAATCGTTCGTTGAGATTGGAAAGAGTTTTGTTTGATTTTGCTTCAATGTTCAATTATTTAGTCATTTACGCAGCTCTCAACTAGAAATGTTCAACTGTTAATCTCATTCCTTTATTAACGTGCGTTGTGATGACCCTAGCGACTCTTTTTTTAAAAAAAACTTCTTCAAAGCTGTCCTCTTGTAAATGTAAAGAAAGGGTTGCTAGAGAAGTGAGTTAATGTTAAGGTTTAATCCTTTTTCTTTTTTTTTTTATGAATCTCAAGTTTTGGATTGTAAAATGATTTGAGCTTGTGTACTATCTATCAGGTGAAGATAAATACTATATCTTTTCAAAAGGGACTTACAAGATTGGTCGAAAAGGTACTCTTCTTACATGTAAAATCTTAACTTCAATCCTCTTTCTTGTTCCTTGCTTCAGTACTTTTGATTAAAATCTGTGACCTTTGGTGTTTTTGTATTGAGTAGGATGTGACATAATTATCAATAAGGATAAGGGAGTGTCTAGGATCCACGCTGAGTTAACTTTCGATGCTTCAACCTCTCCTACTCGGAATAAATCTCCTCCTGACACCTCATTTGTTATCCGTGTCAAAGATTGTTCAAAGTATGGCACCTTCATCAAAACTGACCTCGGGACTAAAGACAAAGTCCATGAGCTACCTAACAAGGAGAGGATTCTCATTGATGGTGATGTTGTCACGTTTGGTACTGGTCAAGCAACTTACAGGTATTACTAGCTACTCAATCTGACTTTTCTTTCTTGTATAATATAAGCTTATATCTGTTTCATTTTAAATAAATTACTTCCAGGTTGTCTTTGATTCCGCTCGTGTTTTACTTCTGCCCTTCCTCTGAGACCTTTAAGGTGGATCGTTCGGTACAAGATACAGTTTCATCAATCGGTTAGTAACAAACAAACATTATGCAAGTAAAACTGGTTTCATAGTATTACTCGTATTGCCTGAAGACATGTTGGTATTTAGGTGCTCGTATTGCGTCCACCTTGACTGATGAGTGCACACATGTTCTTGTTGAGCCGCGCATGCAAGTGAATGAAGCTCTACTCAATGCAATATTAGCCAAAAAGCCCATAGTTTTGACGGATTGGGTTAAGGTATGTCAGAGAATAATACTTTTCTCACCCCCTTGTTTGTTGGTTGTTAATGTGTTGTGTTTTTTCTCTCTCTAGCTTCTTGCAGAGAAGAGTATCCGCAGCGAATTTCCTGGAAACAGCCAGTGAGTATTGTCTTAATGCTTTTCTATAGTTACAGAACAGACTCTGCAGTTACTTACATGCTAATTTTGTAATACAGGTACAGACCATCAGTGATGGTGGAAGAAGCTTTGGTGGATGTAATGGAACAAAACGTCCGTGAAAAATGTCTACAAGGATTTACCTTTGTGTTGGAACCAACAGACACTGTATAATCCCTTATCTGTCTAAAAACAATCATTGATGAGCATGCATTTACCTATTCCTTCGCTCTTTGCTTCTTTATAGATTCCTCTCTTTTTTTCCTTATGCAGTACAGATTTGGTAGCAGCTTCCCGTCTTTACTCAAAGTATGTGGCGCAGAGACTGTTGCCACATCAGAGATTAGCTCCATGAGTCAGGTTTGTGCTTTTATATTGTCTTTGGCTCATTTGGTCTTTCTGTAAAGAGCCTTAACATACCATAATCAACTTTGCAGGATTCTCAGTATGGAGAAGCTAACCGAATGATATGTGTCATCCCAATAAGCTCAGGAGACAAGTTTGGCCGTTTGAAACATCTCAGTCTGTTATCTAGAGTGAACGAAATGGACTTAATAAGCGCTATCTTGTCTGGAAATCTTCCTTCGACTTCGTTGATACCACCTTCCGGTTAGTACACCCACACAAAGCCAAACATATTTGCTTTTGTATAAATGGCTGAACTCTTATCTTTAAACATTTTCCTGTTTGTAGTTGTGATTTCATCATCATGCTCTACGGATGAGACAGTAGTAGCAGACTCTGATGTCGAAGAGGAAGAAACAACATCGTCAGTTCATATGATCGATGCCACAGAAAAGGCAGAAACGCCAGAGAAGCCTGCTACTATAGTGATAGAGGAGAGTCCCGTTACGATAGTGGAAGAAACTATGAACTTGAATGAGTATAAAAGCGTAAACTTGACGGCAGATACAGAAATGAAAGACTACAGTGATGTGACAATGAGAAGGGAGGATCGTAATGATGAGCCTGAATGTGGCAACTCGGAGGTTATCTACACTCAACATCTCATTGTTAGGGATTTGCGATCAACTAGAATTGTCCGGTCTACAGAAGTGGAAGGAGTTGTTGACTTCAAGCGATTCAGAAAGGTAAGAGAAAACCTTTGGATTCTGGACAGATGTTATGTCCGCGAGATTAATGAGTTTGTTTTTTTTGTATTGTTAGGGGAATGTTATATCTGGAAACAGCTTCAGTAGTCTAATACCTTTCGCCAAGGATCCATACAAGTAATCTTTTTTAGCTCCTATTGGTTTCTCTTTCTCCTCTTTGTTTACTTGAAGTCTTAAACCTTTTGTTTTGGTAGAGAGTACGATACTGGTGAAGGGACAAAGTTTATGAAAGAAGAGAAGAAGAGGAAGCAGAGGGAAGCCGTTGCAGAGGACTTGTTTCACAATGAAAAGGTTTCAATCAAACAACATCATCTTGCATTGCATCAAAAATCTAAAGATCATCCAGCAATTTTCTTTACACTTTTATATATTTGTGGGATCTGCAGGCTAGAAAGCGTGGAACAGCTGGTTCCATCCACGGGTTGCTCACTCGAAGTTGAGGTTTCAAGGTGAACATGAAATGGTTGTTGTGAGATCTTGGTCTGTAGTTACTCGGTTTAGGAACACAGGTCACGAGGTGCCACTGTTCAAGTTGTGCTGCTTTCGAAATGTTCAAGTATTTCTTGAGAGGCAAGCTACTTCCAAAGGCTTGAAAAATTTCCAAATTAAGATCAGAGGTTGTAATATTCAAAATCAAGGCGAGAAAACAAACAAAATGTAAAGTCTTGTTATGATTTATGAGTTATGAGATGGGGATTCACCTATGAATTCTGAGTTATCATTTTGTTTTTTTCTTGTTTTTATAATAATAATTTACTGACCTAAGCACACTTGTTTTCGTATAATACAAGTCAAACTTTGGTATCCAATTAGTCTAGATTCCAAAAGAAAAACGATGAAAAAGAATTCTTAAAATTATTCGTCGTCCTTTCATCCTGTTTTCATCTTCTGAATTTTCTTTATAATGAGTCACAAACTCTTCTTTGGATAACAATTCAAACCAGAAAAATGGGAAGGCCTCATGTTATAGTCATAATGATACCTTACCCAGCACAAGGTCATGTTCTTCCTCTAATGAGCTTCTCACGTTACCTTGCGTCTCAAGGAATCCAAGTCACATTCGTAAACACTGAGGTTGTTAATGTAAGATAAATGAGCTACACAAATTAGAACACACGGTAACACTTTGTTAATTCTTTCCAAGAAATACGATTAGATTAATCTTTTTAAAAGTACACACAATTTTTTTCTAAAAACAATATTTCAACCAAACTCAAGACAAACCTTGACTTGTTGACTAATTTTATAAGTTCACAGATCTATGACAGTCTATGAACCTCTGAAGCTCCTAACCCCTAGATGATTTGTCTATGAAACCTCTATTGCTTTGTCTCTCCTTCTCCGGATTTAGATCAGCTTTTTATAACTATTGTTTTTCTATTTCTTAGGGACAAGGCAATTTAACTATCTCCAGGGATGGAAACGGAGAAGTTTATGTGGGTTTGTTTGAAGAACAAATAATCGGCCAAAAGAATTAGTTATTAATGAAAGGAAATATATAAATAACACAAATCCATTGTTATAGTCTAATTAGTTAATGAAAGGGCAAAAAGAAATAAAACAAAGTTAATGTTAAACTGAAAAAGCGATGCTGCAGAAACTGAGTGGTCGTCTATTGGTATGTTTCCACAATCGGAGGTGGGTTTAAAAGAAACCAATCGTGAAGAAGGATCATAACCAACCAAGAAGTTGTTCTGTGCTTTGTTACCAAAAATAGCTTGATTTGGTGCCAACGCCAACGGACAACCACATACAATAGTCAGACAAATGGCACCTTCTCCACTAAATGCCCTATACGTATTGTTTTTACCCAAAACAAGATCCGCACCTCCACTGAAATGCATTGTGATCACTGGAAAGATATCCATTGTGTCCGTTTTTTAGCAAAGCGAATCGTCGTCCTCGTATGTTACTCGTTCCGCTCTAACAACCTTTTCCACTGCCTCCCTCACTAGGCTGCAGTAGCTCGCGGGCAAGCAGGTTAAAGTGCTTCCAGAGTCTATGATCATGTTCCCGTCTACGGCGTGGAACGGTGTCCCCAATGTTTCAATGCGAGTCTTCTCGACGCTGACCGCGTCTAGGTTTAGGGAATAGAACCAAGGTTTCTCCTTGTCAATAAACATAGGGGTCGATACAGTCCCTTCTCCTGACACAATAGCATTACTTCCAAAGTGTAACTTACTACTTCTTCCCTCAGAGGAGAAACAGTAAGAAATTGCACCTATGCCCATCTGAGAGACGAGTGATAACGGCCCTAAATTTAGACCAACAATGCCCGAAGAGGAGGAGCTATACAACCCTGAGCTGTTGTGCGAACATCCAATAATGGTTTTAGGCATTACATAGGACTGGCCAGAAGTGGATTTAATCGCGACAGTCTCGGTAGCAAGCCTTCCTATGGAATAGCTTTGGTCTGCGTAGACAAAATCATAAACACAAGAATGGTCAGGTGTGTTGTCGCATCTTAGATCTTGGTAGGTGGAGGATTTCGAAGGGTCGAATATTGGATTGCGTTGATGGTAGCAGTTAAGACAAGGCAAACATTGTGTCCATATGACCTCGCTTCCCGTGTCTATGACTGCTTCGATCTCGACAGGAGGTGTACCGATTTGGAGTTTCATAATATACTCGTGGGTATCATGGATGACGTCAGCGTAAGGAGATGATCGGAGTTGATCGTAAGTGTTAGAGCGACGACCAGTTGAAGATGAATTGGAACGACGGTGGATTAGGTCCATGGTGAATCCGCCGGGAGGTGATGAGGAGAAAGTGACGACGGTAATAAAGACAAGTGCTGTAATGATTTGAAGAGAGAGTGCCATCATGCTCATCATTCTGCTTGCAAACGACATTGTGATCGAATAATAATACGATGCAACTTCATGCATGCACATATTTTTATAGGATGGACTTTTAGTCTTTTTCTGAATATTTTACATTTTAAGTGATAAATTTTTGTAATTTGATTTTTGGTTTTCCATTTTGATGCTCCATTAATGGAAATTATATCACTTCATTATATTTCACCTAATTGTTAATGAACCCTAACTAAAACACTACATACGTTTAGGTTTTTCAGAAAGTTATGTAAGTTTACTAATATAACCAATTTATATCGCGACTAGAGAGTTGGTAAATTTGTGAAAAGTAAAACATAGTATCAAATGATTTCACACCTTTGCCATATATATCCAATTTATATCGCGACTAGAGAGTTGGTTAATAAATATATCAACACCCTTAAAATTCAATCATAAGCTTATTAATTTCAGGCATACTAATTAATATTTGTAATCGTTCCATCTCACCTAGATCACATTCTGGAATGAGAGCACGGATCGAGCTGCTGTTGAAGCAACAAATAAAAGCTTAGTAAAAACGACGTCAAGGAAGGAGATACTTGAGGTTCTCTTGTGAACAAGACTTGATTCACGGATTACCTAGTAATTAATAGATATTGACATTGTGACCATTTGTGGAAACAATCTCGTTTTTTCATACCATCTTCTTTGTTGCTTTCTATTGCTAACATAAGTAAGTAAACCTGATGACAACAATCATTGGAGATGTTGAAGGAGCAGAGGAGGACAGGCGAAAATTCAGTTGTCCATCTCTGCCATGTGATGTGATGGTAGAGAAAAAAAAAAAAACTCCTAAATGGTTCTCGTATATCAGAGACTTCTGTTTTATCCCCAAGAGGAGCAATAAGTCAATTGTTGGTGACAGACAGTGCATGACTGTTAATTCATAGAATGTATCTTTCTAATCCAAACATTTTGTTCCTTAATTATGGGGGATGTGAAAGTGTTTAATAGGTTTTGCTGGTTTATTCAGTGCATAACTGTTAATTCATAGTACAAAAGTGGACGTGCCGGAGTGGTTATCGGGCATGACTAGAAATCATGTGGGCTTTGCCCCCGCAGGTTCGAATCCTGCCGTTCACGTTCTTAATTTTTGCTCTTACAAAAATCATTACAATATTTATTTTCCTCCAAACGTGCTCCACTCGTCCTTGCCGTTCACCAGATCTCTCCAGAATATGTCATATCTCTCTCCCAGTTTCTAAACACAACGCATTTTCAAGCAGAATCGTTCCCCTTCTCTCTCTCTCTCTCTCTCTCTCTCTCTCTCTCTCTAGCTAGCTGAAAATGGCGAACTCGAGAACTGTTCTCATCTTATGCGGTGACTACATGGAAGACTACGAGGTCCTCTTCTTTCTTCATTCTTCTTATATATATATATATACTCAGTCTCTATGTGTCTTATCTTCAGGTGATGGTCCCGTTCCAGGCCTTGCAAGCTTTCGGTGTCTCAGTCCATACCGTCTGCCCCGGCAAAAAGTCCGGTGACTCTTGCCCCACCGCTGTTCACGATTTCTGTGGTCACCAGGTCTCTCTCTCTCTCTCTCTCTCGATCTCTTTGACTTAGTTTGATTTGATCTTGGTAGATTATTTCTCTGATTAGACCACCACTTGCAGACCTATTCCGAGTCGCGAGGTCACAATTTCACTCTAAACGCAACGTTTGATGAAGTTGACATCAGAAAATACGATGGATTGGTTATACCAGGAGGACGTGCTCCTGAATACTTAGCCATGAATGCATCTGTTGTTGAGTTGGTTAAAAACTTTTCAAGCACTGGGAAGCCTATAGCCTCTATTTGCCACGGGCAGTTGATACTAGCAGCTGCTGACACAGTTAACGGTCGAAACTGCACAGCTTATGCAACCGTTGGACCTGCTCTTATCGATGCAGGTGCCAAGTGGGTGGAACCAACAACTCCTGATGTATGTGTTGTTGATGGTAGTTTGATTACTGCTGCTACTTATGAGGGACATCCTGAGTTTATCCAGCTTTTTGTCAAGGCACTAGGTGGTAAAATAACTGGAGCAAATAAAAAAATCTTGTTTCTTTGTGGGGTAAGTGATGTTAATACTTTTTTTGGGGTCAATTTATTAATACTAACCATGGTTTTTCATTAGTTTTGCTTACGATCTTGCAAAAAAAATAAGTACGATCATGCAGATAGTACCTCCACGTGAAGGTATTTTCATATGACTTATATTTTTGACGTTTTGCAGGATTATATGGAAGACTATGAAGTCAAAGTCCCGTTTCAGTCTCTTCAAGCTTTGGGCTGTGAAGTTGATGCGGTTTGTCCGGAGAAGAAGGCTGGTGATCGTTGCCCAACGGCAATCCATGACTTTGAGGGTGACCAGACTTACAGTGAAAAACCAGGACACACTTTTGCTTTGACTGCTACTTTTGATGGACTTGATTCATCCGGTTATGATGCGCTGGTCATTCCAGGAGGCAGAGCTCCAGAATATCTGGCCTTGAACGGACGGGTTCTTAACGTAGTTAAAGAGTTTATGAGTTCTGGGAAACCAGTTGCATCTATCTGCCACGGACAACAGATCTTAGCTGCTGCTGGTGTCCTAAAGGTAAGTTTTGTTCGTTCCTGTGTTTGCAACTACAACCTGTATATTTATGAAGTGTTTGAGAAAATTGCTATGTTTGAGTGATCATGTTCACTGATGCAGGGAAGGAAATGCACTGCTTATCCAGCAGTGAAACTGAATGTGGTACTTGGAGGAGGAACTTGGTTAGAACCAGATCCAATCCACAGATGCTTCACTGACGGGAATCTGGTAACTGGTGCAGCATGGCCAGGACACCCAGAGTTTGTCTCACAGCTAATGGTTTTGTTGGGCGTTCAGGTTTCATTCTAGTTGTGTAAACCTTCCCTTTCATGTGGAATCGACTTGTCTGCTGTGTGATATGTGTTAAACTTGTGGCTCATGTCAGTCTCTCATGTTGAGGTTGCGTCGTTGATGTTTGTCTAAACTAAAAATCTTTGTTTGAGTCGAAAATAAAGTTTATGAGAGTTTTTTTCTTTTCAGCATTCATCACAAACAAGTATAGTAACATACACTCGGATCAGTCGTGGTCTCACTCTCACAACTATCACACCACAAGTCATCTCATGCATAACGCGTTCTCACAAACCGTACAGCTTAAGCGATAACAAACTTCTGTGCCACAAGCATGACATTCTTTGGAACGTTCCAAGGTCCCAGTATAAGGGATATGCGGATGCAAATGATGGTGAAACGGTTCATAACACACCAACTTGATTTGTATTTACCATTTTAATACATAAAACTCTTTTTCATTTCCAATAGAAAAAAGAGCAGCAGAGTTTACTACATTTTACAGCCCAAGAAAGGTAAAGACATAGTCACATAGTGACTGGTTCATCCCGAAGAACCAGCAGCAGACCTAGCTGTTTCAATGGCTTCGACCAGATTATCATATTTGGCACCCGTAACTTCCTTGACGACTTTATTATCCTTAAAGATTTTGAAAGTTGGAACCACTCTTAACCCTAGCTCCTTTACTAATGGCTGCACAAAACAAAAAAAAATAAAAGAGTTTCAATTTTTTTTATAGCTAGGCAACAACAAAAGCAAGTCATAGGTGTGGAGAAATAAGATTGAAAGACAAACCCTGTTTTCAGGGTTGCAGTCAAGCTTTAAAAACACAACGTCCTCGTACTTCTCGGATAAATCTTTGTACTTAGGGGCAATCACTTTACATGGTCCACACCTGCGTGCATTAGAATATATATTACATGAAACACCATTGATCTCAAGTCTTTATGTGACAAATGAAGCATCATCACCACTGATCCGAAATCTAATAAAGTAAACGATGTCTGTAGAGAATAGGATGACTAGTAGCTAATATTAAGAGGATAAACGTTGCCATACCATTGAGTGTACATGTCAAGTACGACAATTTTTTCACCGGCGGCTTTAACGATGGGCCAGAACGTATCCTTATCCACTTCCGTCACTTGACCAACACTGACGTTCACTGTCTCTAAGCTACACCTCACCACAGAGGAATCTACCCTTTTACCATAATCCAATGAGCAGAGACCAATCCTCGTTGTGGCTAAGCCGGAGTAAGGGATGCGGCACTGCTTCTTCTTCACGGGACCAAATCCACCGGTGGATGAAGCTAAAGCCGTAGGAGATGGAGCGAGACGGAGAGAGAGAGGCATTTCTTGGGGGAAGCTTTTTGAGTTCAAGAAGAGTGGATGAGATGGAGACGAAGAAGTTGGAGTTCGAGAAAAGTTGATGAGCTTGGCTTTGTGTAGTTGTGTGTGCGGTCTTCAACGGAGTTATTGGACTGTATAAGCGTAAAAGACGATATTAGCCTCATGATTCTGCGGATGAAAGGATATTCTGGGGATATTTATGTCACATCGTGATATATCAACGGGAGGTGTAGATATCTCCGAGGGAACTACGATTGATTTATGTGTTTACTAGTAAATGACGATTCGGTCCATCACATATTGATACTGAAGAAGAAAATGTTATTTTTAAAATGTTATTTTTTCTATATATGAATGGAATTATTATATTGCTTAGCATAGAAATTTAACTACTTCAAACTAGATATAAATGCCAACAACTTGAGATAAGCAATTATTAAACAGTTTTAGCATTCAAAATTAACATATTTTTCTTCTTTGGCAAAACAAAATTCAGTAATTAAGAAGAGCAATTAAAATGTAACTTTATGAATACAAACAAGTAATTTCACTTGATAAATTGGTAAAAGAAAAAGAATTTAATAATTTTGGTGTTGTGAGATTCTCTAAATTTCTGAGGCATTATATATCATGATATAAAAGAGATTTTGTTTTTCTCTTCAATTCCACTTCAGTCATCTCCTTAAAATAAAAATATGGAGTCTTGATCATGTTTACTGAATAGTAACACTTCTACAAGTGCAGTAACTATGCTATGTCAAATTTAATATTTACTTGCAGCCAGTGGCGAATTTAAGGTGAATTTCTATAAAGGATAAAATAACAAAACACTAGTAATATATTTATAAGTTTAAATTTTATTCAAGATATTATTAAAATTCTAAGTAAAATTATACCCAAAAAAATTATGGGGAAAACTGTTTCATCCATTATTCACCTAGTTCCGCCACTGCTTGCAGCTAGAGTTTATTTTGAAAATTTGTGATGTTTATTGACATTTTTATTTTTTATTTTATTTTTAATATATTGTATGTTATTGATCCTGATTATTTGTCAAGCAAATATTTTGTTTTAATTAAATTCAACGTTTAAAAAAAAAGTCAATCCAAAAAATAAAATTTTTGACTCTCAAAGACAAAGAAGGTAAATAACTGCCGCCAAACTGAAACTAAAAACGGTTTGTTCAGATTCACAATTATCTGAATTTTTATTTCCTATTTTTAGGAAAGAAGTAAAAAGAAAGTAAAATTGTTTTAGTCAGAGATTCAAAGGTGTTTCGAGATTTCCTTATATAATAAAATTTAATTTAATTTATTACAAAGTTTCTTCCTTATTCGACATCTCTGTCCTAAACCTCACGCCACCGCCAAAGCTAACACTTTTCTTTCTCTTTCTCTTTTCTTTTTTCTTTCTAAATTAATAAGTTTGGAATATTAGTCTTTGACGGAGTATGGATCTCACGCGTAGACAATGGTCCTTGTCGGCGATTTTACTTGTCGTGACGTTGCTAATTCAGCCGCAGCTATCACCGGCGAAGGATAATTTGGCTTTTGAAGTTCGAAGCAAGTTCGCCGGTAAAAGAGGAAAGGATCTTGGATCTCTCAGAGCTCACGATGCTCACCGTCACTCCAGACTCCTCTCCGCCATCGATCTTCCTCTCGGCGGCGATAGCCAGCCTGAGTCTACTGGGTACTAAAAAGCTCTAATTTTTTCAAGTAAAGTTTCCAAATTTTTAATGCCTATAAATGAGGAATCTGAGAAAAAGAAAGAAAAAAATTAGCTTTTGATATTTTTAGAGAGATTCTCTCCATTGTTTTGTTTGGTCATTGTTGACTCTTTTGGTTTCTTGATTCTAAAGCTATGATCTCTCTTCTTGTGTCTGCTTATGTTTTGACTCTTGTTTTTGTTTCTTTTATTTTCAGTCTATACTTTGCTAAAATTGGACTAGGAACTCCATCAAGAGACTTCCATGTCCAAGTTGATACAGGAAGTGATATCTTATGGGTGAATTGTGCTGGATGCATCAGATGTCCTAGGAAAAGTGATTTGGTAAGACCAAGAACATAACTTCAAGTTGCATAAATATGTTTTAATGGTTTGATTTATCTTTTCAGGTAGAGCTAACACCTTATGATTCAGATGCTTCCTCCACTGCAAAGTCTGTTTCTTGTGCTGACAGCTTTTGCTCTTACGTTAACCAAATATCAGAGTGTCACTCAGGTTCCACTTGCCAATACATTATCCAATACGGTGATCAAAGCTCCACTAGTGGGTACTTAGTGAGAGATGTTATGCATTTGGATTTGGTTACTGGAAATCGTCAAACTGGTTCTACCAATGGAACTATTATCTTTGGGTGAGTTAAAGACTAGAGAGGAAGAGACACCTTCTCTCTTCTTTGAGTTGTGTCATTTTCAGTTGATATTGACTTGGTATATTACAGGTGTGGGTCTAAACAGTCTGGTCAGCTCGGTGAATCTGTATCTGCAGTTGATGGGATAATGGGATTTGGACAGTCCAATTCATCGTTTATATCTCAGCTAGCTTCACAAGGGAAGGTGAAAAGGACTTTTGCACATTGCTTAGATAACAAAAACGGAGGTGGTATATTCGCCATTGGAGAAGTCGTGTCACCAAAAGTGAAGACTACTCCTATGCTCTCTAAATCGTAAGCCAATGCCTTTTCCTTAAACCTCTTCTTTTTCTATTTCCTATGAAAATGTTTTGGATCATTTACACTGTTTGTGAACCTGTTACAGAGCTCACTATAGTGTTAACCTCAATTCAATTGAAGTTGGTAACACAGTTTTACAACTTTCTTCGGGAGCCTTTGATTCAGGAGATGACAAAGGAGTCATTGTTGACAGTGGTACTACTTTGGTTTATCTTCCCAACTCTGTTTATAAGCCGTTAATCAGTCAGGTCAATACAAATTAGTTTCTTCTGTATTGTGAAAAGATTCTCTGTCTTTTACCACAAAGGTTCTTAACACTTTGTTTGTTTTTGGAAGATTTTGGCTTCACATCCAGAACTTACCTTGCATAGGGTTCAAGATTCCTTTACTTGTTTCCGTTATACCGACAAGTAAGAATCTAACATATTGCTTCGTATAGTTGTGTGAAAATGATACTGACATTTGATGTGGTGACTGATTTATACTACTTATGACACACTGAAAATCTTTTGACAATAATATCACAGTTTAGATCGGTTCCCACCTGTTACGTTTCAGTTCGACAAGTCTGCTTCCTTGACTGTATCTCCTCAGGATTATCTATTCCAAATTCGGGTATGTGTTCTGACTCTTTAGATTTTGGTAGTGTTCTTGTTCTGACATAAAACCGACTCATTGTTTAGGGAGACACATGGTGTTTAGGCTGGCAAAATGGTGGATTGCAGACTAAAGATGGAGGAGAATTGTCAATTCTTGGAGGTATATACATCTCCTCTCCAAAAATGTATGTCTTCCACAATCGAATAGCCTAAAAACTTGATTTGTTTTGCTGCAGATATGGCGCTTTCTAACAAGTTAGTTGTCTATGATATCGAAAATCAAGTTATTGGATGGACTAATCACAACTGTAAGCATCACATAACCTACTTTTTGTTAACTCTAATGAGAATCGAAGCTTTAGGTATCTTGATTGTAACGAATGAATCTCACACAGGCTCAGGAGGAATACAAGTGAAGGATGAACAAAGTGGAGCAGTCTACACAGTTGGTGCACACAATCTTTCATGGTCTTCTTCTTTAGCTGTTTCCAAATTTCTTACATTTGTTTCTCTCTTAGTTATTTTCCTCTGTAACGTTGCTTTATAGCCTTCGTGAGAAGAGAAGTTTGTTCTGTGTATGTGTTGATCTTATTCCCATTTGTTAAAACAATATACGTTTAAAAGAAAGGGAGATTAAAGCATATCTGCAGTTGATGTAACTAGAGCTTTTCTAAAGAGACAATAACAGGAAATAACATCTCCCCTTCAGACCAACAAAATTAAGCCTGAGGGGTTTTCACGGTATCACAGACACAAAACCATTATTACATCATGTGATTGTGTTTTCACTTTCTTTACTGACAAAGCCAAAAACATTAACAAGAAAGAAAGACAAAAAAAAAAACAAAACTGAGACAAGTTTATGTTCCAAAACCAATGAATGTCGACTCAAAGAAACAAAAAAGAATAAGAGATCAATGTAGAAAGGTGTTAAAAAAAAAAGACACAGTACCTTTCCTGGATGATTTATTTGATTATGTTTTGTGGACTCTCAACTTCTTCTTCTACACTTCAAACTCTTCTTTCTCTTTTCACTTTCCAGGCACAAATCTTGGCAAGTTTAAAAGTGTATTAACCCTTGCAACACCTTCTAATGCAGAGTACTCTGTTCCATGTTCTGAATCCTCTTCTTTGATCAGCTTTTCAGCTTCGCTTTCGTCAAGAGCAATCTCTTTCCCAGTCTTGACAGTACTCGAACGTCCTAGACCGCTTGGTCCTGATGCATCGTCATTCTCGGTTTTTAGCTCTTCTAAGTCTTCATCATCAAGTTTGGAGATGGAAGAAGCTGACGATATAACGTTTGTGTTGTTGGAGTCTAAATACAAGCAAACCGCAGCACAGTCATCGACTTTGGAGGTAGGGTATTTGTATCTCCAAGCTCTAACCGCAGACTCGACTAAAGCTCTTGCTGCAGCAGAACGTGATGGTGCTGAAGCCACAATCGCCACTACCTCTTCGTTTGAGAGAACATCCCAAATCTATCACACAAACATAACATTACAATTGTGAGCAAAACAAAAATGCACAGAGAAAAGGAATGTGTTATAGAGATTTACCCCATCTGAAGCCAACACTATAAACTCATCTTTTTCGGTTAATCTACGGAACGATACATCAGGTACAGAGATTAAACCAAAATCTTTAAGACAAAAGTCTCCAAAAGCACGTGCCATTGCAAGTCCAGGTGAGTCACAGTTTGGCAGCCAAACTCTACAAACTTCAGGTTCATCTCTAAGCGCAAACACACGTCCACGACACTTCTTTATCCTCTCTGCCTCAGCTGCAGAAATCAATCACAGGGAAATTAGCACAACCTGAATAAAGGGATCCATCATGCATCCACATGACACGAATAATTAGTCAACCTGGGAGATTTGGCTTGAGATCCACAGTTAGTTGAACAGCAACAAGTGCATTTTCACCGTTTCTTGTGCCCATCACAGCTCTGGAGTCCCCAACATTTCCAACAACGAGATACTCACCCTACAATATTGCAGAGGATATATAATAAATACTCAGTTACATCCATGCTAAAACTTAAAACCAGCAAGCCGTGACAATCAATACCTGCTTGATCAAAGTCACAGCCGTTGTCCCACTACAGAAACAGTCAACACTTCTATGGAATTTAAGTTCTCTGTCCATAACTTTGAAAGCCTTAAGAAACGCCTCTTTCAGAGTCTGAAACAACTCAGACTGTGACTCTTCTGTGTTCTCCTCTTCCGCCATATCAACGGATGGCATAGGTTCTTCCTCAGCAGATACAAAAGAAGCCGCAGCAGCATCTTCAGAGTTGCTGGCACTATTAACGGTGGTGATCGTCTTTACAGCACCTTCAACCGGTACTTTTGCTTCCCAATAAGAACTTAATTTGAGAGGAAGATTGTCTCTGACTCTCTTTGCAACCATATGACCATATGGACCATGCCCATCAAACACTCCACAGAAGACTGTATCTGTCCTAGACCCAAAATTCTGCACACAAATATTTGAAACAATAGAACCTATAAGAACCATAACAAAGACAATAAGAAGACTTATAGTTCTAACTAACCTCCCAAACAACCATGGCATCTTGATTAGGCCCTTTCTTGCCTTGTTGAGTGAAGATACAAGCAGCCTCACTTGATCCATTCAAGTACATCCGACCTGGAACCCTATGCAACGGATCTTCTCTCTTAGAATCAAAGGAAGAGTTCCTGGAACCAAGTCTCTTCTTAGAGTTCTTCCTCTTCTTCACACCAAAACCAGGAGAGCAAGGAGATCCCGGTCTGGGACTCCTGCTCTCAGCAGATAAACAGGACCCCATTCTAAGGGCCCTGATTATATTAATAAGGCACTCCAGACCAACTACTGTACAATCACACCCACGGTCCTCCAGCGAGAAAGATTGAAGCTTTAGATCACAATGATCCTCACAAAGAGCAATGATGATACAGCTACAGAAAGAGATAACAACCTTCTTTTTAGATCATGATAATCATCACATAGAGCAAAATGATGATTCAGACAGCAAGAAAAAACATATATACCTCTATATTAGTTCAAGCTACTCTATGACAGAACACAAATGATGAATATAAACCCACATCGCCAAAATTGAATGTAACAAAGAAACAAATATAAAAAATCAAGCCTTTCAAAGCTGACCAAGAGAGAGGTAAGGTAGGACTTCTTGGTCTGGCCCCTTTTTGAGTCTTAAGAGAAAAAAAAGGATTCTAGTCGTTTTTCTTTTTACAAATTAAATATTTTTGAAGTAATTCAACCCCAAAAAAAAAAGAGTTTAAAGAGGAAAAGGAAGAGATCTACGTAATTGGCACCACACACACAAAAAGAAAGAGAGGTGTTTGTTTGTTTATTTATGCATCAAAATCCATCAAAACAGTGATTAGGAAAGAGACTACAAACACGAGAAACATATCAGAACACTTTCTCTATCTATCTATCTATCTCTCTTTGTTTGTCTGCAACCAATGTAAAAAGAACATCACAGAAAAAAGAATCAAACTTTTAATCTAATTCGAGCTGAAAAAGACACTCACCAGCAGACAGATCAAACCAAATGGGTAGGAGGATCTCCAGAATCAGATTCAATCCGGGAAATTAAAAAGAAAACGGAGAAGAAGACGAAGAAAACAAAGCGTAGGAAGATTCTGTTGGCGCGTAGAGAGAAATGGGTAAACAAATAATAAAAGAGAGAGTTTTGAAGGAGAAAGAAACGTAACCAACCAACTAAAAACCCGTTCTTTCTTCAGAGAGAGAGAGAGAGACAGTAATGGAGAGATAGATAGGTTCGTCACACACTCTCTAAATATGTTATGAGATTTCTGTGTTTGGGATCATGTTTGTCTTTTTTCCTATTTTTCTCAAGAGATGATGGGGTTTTTTTTCATTTTTATTTAAATATTTTTGCGTGTTTTTCAGGCTGGCACTATTAACATGGGGTTGGATAAGACGTTTCTTACACAATAATTTCCTGACATCCACCAATATTGTTATTTATTTATTTATTTTCTGATTTATAAAAATATCCATGCAAAAAATATCAAATCATTATAATATATAAGGTGTCTCAATCGGTCAATCATCCCATATTAATACAACTAAACTTCTTATTTGGTCAGCTTAATCATGTTCACTTTTTTAATCCGTTTAGTTAATCATATCTTATTTGATTTTACTTTTATCAATGCGTACGTAATTGTTATTAACCAGAAAAAAAAACACATTATAACGTTTAAAAAATTAACTACAGTAAGGTAACATGTGATCAGTGTGGTTCTTGGCTAAATAGCATAATAAATGGCAATTGTTGAAAGGTGATGGTCCTTGTATTTTTAGAAGCCTTGAGTGGCAGAACATTTATATTCAGTGGAACCCAGATGAATAGTCAAATAGAGTACTACAAAACATTGCGAGTACAAAAACTAAAGCCATATGTCGGCCACGAGGCAAACTTGCACAGGTTCCAACACGTATCAACTTCTCCTCTCATGCAGCAGATCAGATCTGCAGATCATCATTCTTAAGAAGACAACCTCTTTGAGTTTTGTTTCTCCTCTCTCTCTCTCTCTCTCTCTTAATGAAATCCAAAATGGTCTTATCTTCTTCCTTTGTTTGCTTGCTTTAGTCTGGTCTCAATCAAATAATCCAAACTCTTTTTTGGATAAAATCATAGATTACGTTAACAATAAGGAGTTTAAAAACGTTAGTAGATGCTGTTTAGTGACTATGACCGGTTTAATTGCTGAGTAATTAGGACTTCCCTAACGAAGAATTTTATTTCAAAAAACGTTACACGCCATGGCACGATGAATAACATTTTCTTTATTATCCGCACTAATCCTTCAAACACAAAGAAGACAAAGCTCCTTCAAGAAATCAAGAGGAACTCTTTGTTCACCAAGTCCTTTCTTACTAGCTTTTATAGGATGGGAAGCTTAAGCTATCACTCTAATGACGCAACCCCATTGATCTCATCAACGTTGCACATCAGTGATTTTTTGATGTGTAAGATACAGAGAAGAACAGACTGGTTTTAAGCTTAAAACTGAAGCTGAGATCATTGCAAAAAAGCATTCATAATTCCAAATTAAAATGAAATGGTTTTTCTTGGAACATCTAAAAGTATCGCATCTCCAATTATTATCATCACAAATATTAAAAAAAGAGAAGTATTATCCCCAAAACTCAAGGAAGAAAGCTTTCAGAGTTTGTGGATGGTTTTCATGTCTACAGCTTCACCCAGAGTCCCTTTCTCAACATGATCCCACCACTTCATCAAGAAATTGTCCACCACCAATCTAAACCAAGGAGATAGCTTGAGACCTTCCTCCCCTGCATCTGCCTTCTTCACCAGCTCCTTCAGCCCTTCCCTGCTCACATACTTAATCTCCGCTACTTCGTCCGGGTTTGGTGCAACCTTAACATCCCTCACAATGAAGAGCAAGTAGTCCACTGCAAAACATCAATGTTCTATTTCAGAAGTGTGTATTCAAGAAAAAGTTCAACAAGAGTCTCAGGGAGAGGTATTTACGTTCGTGCTCTCCCCATTTGCCATCAGAAGGAGCCTTGTAAAGCATACGTCCCAAGGGAGTGAACTCATCCACTGGTACATCTTCAGCTACGATACCGAGCTCGTCAAGAAGCTTTCTCTGTGCAGCATTCCTCACACCTGAATGAGCATGATACAAAACACTGAGGTCAGTGGTCAAGTAAGCGTAAGCAGTAATAAGTACTAAACTGTTTGCCCAGTAGGTACCAACCAAGTGCTTTTTCCTCGATAAGCTCTGATTCACGGTAAAGAGGATGGCTGCAACAAGTGTTTGTCCACACTAGAGGGAAGGTCACCTTTGCTTTTGACCTTTGCTGTTCAAAATAAAAGGAGGAATTTCAGTAATATGGCAGATGAGCCAGATTATTAATTTATAAAGACCTGCTAACCATGCATAGTAACACCGTGTTACTAACACATATGTGTACACGATCATGAAACCAAAGCAGGCATAAGAAAATACCTGGAGAAGCAACTCATAGTTCGAATTGAATAAAAATACACTAAAGGCCCTGTGAAGCAAATTCTTAGCTTCAATATTTTCCATCAGATGACCTGCAGAATTATGAGGTATTAGTATCTTGAATATTAGCATAGACAGAGATAAGAAGCAAAACAGCCATCCTCTAACACTTAAGTAAATTTTCTTCAACCATTTTCCAGCACCAGCATCTTTAAGTTCATCTATTCTATATATTGAACAAGACAGAACTTACTATTTCATTAGAGAAAACTATCCTCGACTGGTTAAAATGACTGCGAGAAAAAGTGCCCCCTATAATGTGTCCATACGCTTTTAAGAAGGATAATTTACACGCTTTGTAGACACTGAAAATAACACTAGCTACACTAGAGACGCATGATGCATCTAAGTTCAGTTACAAAAAAAATAAAATAAAGAAGCACAACACAAACTTCAAGGGAAAACACTAAGAGGTGCGATGAGAGTCGAACCAAGTTCTCTTACAATTATATTTGCTGTCATGACCCACAACACGATCAGTTTCGTCAACAAGAATGCATCTGCAAGCAAGATAGACACGTTATATAAGGTGGAGACATCGTATAGAATTTTTTTACTGAATATCAGGAGACCTAAAACTTAGAAGACACTCTTCTATCAAAGCAAACGGATCTACCATCATCAGTCAAAAAGGGAACATACTATATATGTACAAAGAAGTAAAACACCTGAGAACAACATAGTTTAACCTGACTATGTTCCTCCCAACACTGTCACATCTTTCATGTAAGCCACTAAAGCGTTCACATTTTAGCCCATTTGAGTCTAACAGCTACTAAAAAATCTACAAACCATTTATCATTACATCACAATTCAACAAATCAATAGACATATATGTTCATGAATCACTGCTAATCGAAAAAAAATGCAATTCCAAAAACCAATTTTTCGTCTTTTTCTGAGAGCAACCTAACAAAGCAGACAAACTGATTTGAAGACAAAAGATACAATTTTTGAAAAGACCCACGAAGCGAAGTCAGAGACTTACTCATCCTCAAACATGAGTCGTCTCTGGACAGCATCCATTCCAGCATCTTTAGAATCTGTTGTCATTACGGAGAAAGCTCGAAACTTTCTCGGTGGTAATGAAACCGAAACGGATCGAAGCGATGATGGAGGAAGACGGAGAAACCGTGAAGAAGACGAGGAAGAGGGAAGAGAGAGAGATCTGAATCGAATCAAAGAGAGATTAAATAAACAAGAAGAAGAAGCAGTCATTGATTTGCATGTAGTAAGTAGTTGGTGACTGACTGAAGATGCGCTCCTTTGCGTTTTGTTTTGTTTTTTATTTTATTTATGTCCACGGTCCTTACCATGTACCTCTCCGCACTCTATAATATAACTTCCCGACAAAACCGGATAAGATTCAAAGGGTTTCCTTACAAAAGGTTGTTATTTTGAGGGGTTTATTTGCAATTTTCCCATAAATTGTTGTTATTTTTGAGGGGTTTGTTTGCAATTTTCACATAAAAGTTGTTATTTTGAGGGGTTTGTTTGCAATTTTCCCGTAAAACTGGATAATAAAACTACCATTAATCCAAATATTTAATTAGGGATGTTTATTCTTTTTTTTAATAATTTAAGTTGTAAAAGTGATTAAGCATCTATGCTTGTACAGCTTAATTAAGCACCGAAGCTTTTTTGTATTTTTTATTTTTTTTTAATCTGAAAATCACTAAACACTTTTCTAAACTCCTGTGTTAATGGTGTTCAAAGATTAAAAATTTTAAAGGATTTTTTTAAAAGAAGTTGTTATTTTGAGGGGCTTAATTGCAATTTTCGTATAAAATTTTATATTTATATCAGAACTCAGATGATTATCCAAGTTGTTGTCTTGATCAGAAGTGGAACACAACTAGGGCTACGGCTAGGGCTTCTCCCTGAGTGAGTAGCCGCCACCACACCACCGAAGATGACTGGTAAGGCCAAGCCAAAGAAGCATACAGCTAAGGAGATTCAGGCTAAGATCGATGCTGCGTTGACCAACAGAGGCGGAGGAAAGGATGGAATCGCTGATCGAACCGGGAAAGTGAAGGGAGGTCACGCTAAGTTCGAATGTCCTCACTGCAAGATTACAGCTCCTGATCTCAAGACTATGCAGATCCATCACGAGTCGAAGCATCCGAAGATCGCTTATGATGAATCCAAGCTCGTGAATCTCCATGCGGTTTTAGCTCCAGTTGCTGAGTCCAAACCTAAACCTGGAATCAGGGGAAGCTTAAAGAAGTAAACACTTTATGCTTCTGTCTGAAGATTTATCTATCTTTTTATGTTATGTTTAAGACAATGATTTGCTACTCTATCCTCTGAATCCATAGTGTTGATGATGCTTATTGCTTCTATCTTTTTAATGATCTCATACTTATTATCTGTTGTATGAATGAACTGATGTTTGAACGATTATCTTTTGTTGAGTTTGCTAATTTTGAGATGTTATTACTTTGCGATAACTTGTCTGGTAAATATCATATGGTTTAGGTTAGCGTTGAGGTTTCAGTCTCTCTGTCTATATATGTTTTGGCCTTAGATTAAGTGTGTAACACGTTTGGTTTAAGTCTGCTTGTGTTACGTGTTTTTCATCCTTCCCTTCTTTGTGTGTTGCGTATAAGATTAAGTGTAAAGTCACCGTCTTTAATAAACGAAATATGGCCTCTTCTAGTTTAAGAATGCTACTACAAATCGGTGGAATTCTTTGATTATCTTAAAAAGACATCTTTAATTAAGAGATCTTTGCTCTTAATACATGCATATGTTATTATTTTGTTGGAAACCATGTTCTGCACCGCACATGGTATAGATTGGGAAATGCACATGGTGTAATAATGTTTACTAGAATTTATTAAGTATATTATTATGTTCCTCGTTTTAATTTATTGTAAATTAACAATGGCTACTAGCCTGCTAACACACACTTTAAGTAAACAAAAAAGATAAAAAAAAAGATAAAGCAACTTAAGCATTAGTGATCATTGAGTTAATTGACCTCTCATGCATCAGTTTCTAATTATGAATGAAGAGTAGCCTCTCTCTATACTTCTAAACCCCGAATCAAACGTCTACTTATGAATCATCTAGTTACTATAAATTGAATCTCAAACATATACAGGAACCATGTCCCATTTGGTTGCTCAAACTTTGGTAGCCAGCGGTTTCGGTTTCTGGACATTATCCTCTTCATAGAGTAACCTTTTTCTGTTAGGGCCATAGCCGAGATAACGATACATAATGATCAAGAGAGACTGCCTCAATCTCACGGTATCAAATGTCTCAATACACGCCGTGTCCCTTTGCCTGCTTTTCGAACCCGCGTACTTCTGGTATTCCTCTAACACCGATGACCAACACCAGTTCTGAACTTTTCTTAAGCATCCCACCAAACAACCTGTCCTATGCTGCATGCACCATATCAAGTTAAACAAAACCATCAAACCATTCAATTACTAATCTCGTAAACCAATGTCCTTGGATAGAGGTTGATGTATATTATGAACCTTTCCGGCTTTGCAATGTATGAGGATCGGATGGTTTCTTACATCTATAGAGAAAACAAACACACAGTTTACTCTAAGACTCATGAAACAGCAATGAAGGAAGAGATTATAGACATTCAAATGACAAGCTGAGTGTTGATTGATTCCTTACCAACTAAGACTTTGAGAGCAGCCAAAACTGTATCCTCTGGTATTGGAGTTGGAGGATCCTGGAAATTGAGAGCATGTAACAATGACTCAACGAGCAACAAGAAATCAAAAGAGTAGCTGAGAGAGTGTAATATATAAGAAGGAAGAACAGAGAGACACACACACCTTTTGGCTTTCGATTGCAAATTGGAAAAGCTTAATGTTGTTGGCCTCGTAAAACTTCAAACTCTCCTCAGGGTATGGTTCAGGACAAAGATAACTGATCAACAATTAAACGAGAGAAACATTTTTTTACTAGTCCAATGGTAAAAAATAAACAGTAAAAAACAGAGGAAGGAAGAGAGAAACAAAGGGTCTTACATGATGGAACGTAGATTAAGGGCAGTGAGGAAACCGAAATGCTCTGGTTTAGGAAACGAAGATCTGTAGATTCCAACTTCAACCATCGAGAAATTCGGCGGCGCAACTAACACACAACCGTTGTGATCATCAGCTAAACACATCTCTCAGTAACTTGTAAAGAATTAAGAAGAACAAAGGAGAAGCAGAGTCAAAGCTAGAGAAAGAAGTGATGGTATTGATTTGAGAGAAAGAAAGAATTGGTTGTTTATATATAGGATGATGAAGTGAAGTTTCTAATATGAAAACGAAATAATAGCTTTGTGAAAAAAAAAGGGGACTCGGTTTTTTACGGTAACGATTATTTCTTCATATGGGGGTGTTTAAAGTTTTAAACCCATTGTAAGGGATTTAGCGTGTGGAGCCCTGTTTGAATTCATTTGGTGTTATCTAGGATCTTGACACTTTTATTACATCTTCTGCTTTTTAATTACATCTCACATTTTTTAACTGAAACAACAAGAATTGTATAAAATGTGGTCGAATTCGAATAAAGAAATCAACTAGTGGTCGTTTCACACAAAACGTAAAGACTCAAGTGGTCTCGTTTGAATTCTTCTTGTTTCTATAGTGTATAGACTGATAGTATTGAATATTTGTTGACAAGGTAATAAAAACCCCAAAGACGGTATAGTAAATATTTATGCAATATGGATTATTTGATTATTTCTATCAGTTAAGTATCTAATTTACTGAAGTTGAGAACTATATATATCTTTCATATTGATTGTTGTTTTTTTTCTTTCATCCATAAAATATGATACTTTTTTTTTTTGTTTTGGAGAAAAAGAAACAGAATGATTAAAGGACAGATAAAATATAATCTTGCTCATCAATGTCATAGCTAAGATTGATTGTTACGTGATGTATGATTTTTTTTTTTGCTTCAAATATCTTAAAGAAGACTGGTATTCAGTGTGTTTCATTAATGTTTTTTTTTCAATCTGCATTTAAAGTTCCCAAAAACACCATATATATGTACGTAGTAATAAAAGAGTCACACAACACACTGATTTGTATTTTTCTTTTGTTTCAGCTAAATCATCTGATTTGTACATTTTGTTCCTTTATCTATCAGATCCAAAACATCTTCATCATATACAACGAGAAATTGATATAAATTTGTACACAAAAAACTTCGAAGCGTTATATTATATTCTCCATTGAGAATGTTTTTTTTCAAAAATAAATCCCTCAAAATATTCAAATTCTTCTGTGTCTTGAGCTTTAATGAATAAAAAATTATGAAGAAAGATTCAATCTTCTGTAGTATCACTTCCAACCTCTGATTTTATCCGATGGAAAGATACTTCATCGTCATCTCCTGATTCATCATCAAAGTAAACACTTTGATCATCATCAGTTTTTGAGCTGTGAATGTGCTCAAGACGAGACTGCTCTTCTTCTTTCTCCTTGTTCCTAAGTGAATCATCATGATCTACGTCAACATCATAGCACGAAGAAAGGCTTTCATCATTTGATTTATGGCTGCTTTTACTGCTTAACTTCTCATCACTAACCTCCACTTCTTCCCAACTATATCTATAGTTTATCTTCAAACTCTGCGCCTGGTTCTTCTCATCCACAGGCTTTGATGATAAACTGCTTCGATCCTCTTCCGAGTTAGAACCAGACCCATCTGATGATGTACTAGACTTTTCATCTTCGACTACTAGTTCAGGAGAACGAGATGAATCATGTCGGCTCAAGGCTATAGACATGCTCTTGTCCCTGAAGGATGAGGTAGGAACAGTTGTGGGAACACCATCTTCTGTAGACATAGAAAGGAAGCTAAGTGCAACCATTACATCACTTATTAGAGGACGTGTTGTTGCTTCCTCTTGCACACACATTGAAGCTATCGCCACTGCTTGGTTTAGCCCTCTCTCTGAAAATTTATTCTCAAGAACTGGATCTGCCATTTCAGGATATTTCTTTGGATCTCCAAATAATGGTTGTGCCTACAAAGAAATTAGAAAATTATTTTAGAAAAAACATTTATGATTTTAAAAACAGTTTAATGGTTTGTTTAGTTACCCAAGAAACTAAGTTTTGTTCATCATTAGGTCTAGTAGTATCAAGAGCTCTTCGACCAGTGATGAGTTCAAGCAACACAACTCCAAAGCTATAGACATCTGATTTCAAGGTGAGATTTCCACCTCGTGTATACTCAGGAGCGGAGTAACCATAAGTACCCATTACTCGAGAAGTTAAAGACACCATCTTATCACCTGTCCCTGGTCCCAGCTTATGCAGACCAAAGTCAGAAAGCTTAGGACACAAGTCATCGTCCAACAAAACATTTGAAGCTTTCAAATCACGGTATATCACAGGTGGATTCACTTTATCATGCAAGTAATCAAGCCCTTGTGCTGCGCCATACGCTATCTGCATCCTTGTCGTCCAATCCATTGGTTCACGGTCTGATTTTGGCTCTGCAAAACAAACCAAATCATCTCAGCTTTTCCTTTAAAAAGGTTAAAAACGTGTTGAATAAGTAACACTCTCTCTATATATACATACCATGAAGATGGTCTTGGAGAGAACCTCCTGTGACATAATCATAAACTAAAAGTCTTTGATCTCCATCGGCGCAATACCCTACAAGCTTAACAAGATTGGGATGATCGAGACGGCCTAATGAGAAGACCTCAGCTTGGAACTCTTTGTTCCCATGTAATCCATGCTTGTCTAGTTGCTTTACAGCCACCACCTACACATTCCCCAAAACAAGAAAAGTTATTACTTATTGTCGTGATGATGTAAAATTGGAGTGTAAATGATTCTCACATGGCCAGTAGGTTGAAGGGTTCCTTTGTAAACCCTACCGAAACCACCTTCTCCTAACAAACATTCTTGCCGGAAATTCTTTGTGGCTGTTGCTAGTTCTCGGAATGTGAACGTCTTCAACGTTGTTTCTTCCGATTGCTCTGCTTCATCTGAACCATCAGGTGAACCAATGAGTTATTTTATTTAGTTTTTGTTAGGTTTTTAAGTATTTTATTAAATAACAAAAGAAAGTGGTAATTATTGTTACTGATCAAATCAAAGACAAATAAATTGGGTTTCTGTATTAGGACATACATACCGTGTGCATGTGGTCTGGTTTCGTTAGCATTGGTCTCATTCGCCGTTGGAGATTTTTTACTCTTTGGTGTAGAGAAACACGGAAAACAATGCATGGTGTTCTAAATTTTTAATCCAAGTAATTAGAAGGGTTCAGAAGCTGTTTAAGAGAAATAAACATTTTGTTTTGTGTAGGATTTAACAACGGGTTTGGATCCTGCATTGAAATTGAAGAAAACCCACGTAAAAAGAGAAACAGAAGAAAAAAAAAATGAAAGGAGAATAGAGAGGGTTGAAAACAAAAGAGACAAATAGAAACCATTGGAATGGATGAAGAAGAATTACTTCTCTGAGGAAGATGTCTACGACTCCAAAAAGCATGGAGAACCATCCTTCTAATTCTGTTTTTATAAAATAATAATAGTTACACTCCCTAATAAAGATAAGTGGATTCATTTGCGAAGTTTGATAGGTTATCACGTTAGAAAACGTAATGTTAGAAAACCAGTACGAATTGATAGACTATTATGAATAGATCCACCTAGTCTACTGATTCATGCTAGTGTTACTGATACTTACTATTCAAAAATCATACCTATCACCTTAGTGTTAATAAAATAATTTCTGTAAAAAACATATGTTGTATGGTTTAGCAAAAAACAACAACATATAATATGTGAGCATCTGAATGGTAGTCATTAAATGAAAGTAGATTTGCAGTAACTCAGTAGTGGTCAATGACTAATCCGGTTTTGAATTGTTAAAAAGAAAAGGAATTTCCACATGATCCGGTTTTGTTAAATAAAAGGAAACCGGGTCGATTAAAAACCGTCCGGTTCGTCCCATATACTTTTTTTTTCCCGCCACTGAAAAACATTAAACCGCCAAAATCAATTTCGCAATTGAATCTGATAAAGACCTAAGCGATACGAGAGAGATCTCAAGGAGAAAAGATGGAATCAGCTCCGACGGGATGCTTCAAATGCGGCCGTCCCGGTCACTGGTCTCGCGACTGCCCATCCTCGGCTCCGGCCACCGGCAATCCGGCTCCATCTCAAACCCCTAACAACGAAGAATCGCAGAGATCTTTCCCCAAAAGTGGAAACCCCGCCGTTCCGAAAGCGACGAAGGCGAGAGTTCAAAGGCCTAAGCTAACACCAGAGATGCTTCTCTCGGAGGATGGTTTAGGATATGTTCTTCGACACTTCCCTAGATCCTTCAAGTATCGTGGCCGTGGGAAAGAGGTTGGATTCGTTTCCCTCATAATCAGATTGCTCAGATGTTGATGTGTGTGTTTTGGTTTTGTTTTTAGGTTAGCGATTTGGGGAATTTGATAAGGATGTACAGTGAGTGGCACTCTCATTTGCTACCTTACTATTCTTTTGATCAGTTTGTTCATAAAGTCCAACAAGTCGCTTCTACTAAGCGTGTCAAGGTATAATTAATTAGCTTCTTTTGATGATGCTGTAACTGTTTTTTCATGGAGCCTTGAAGTTTTTTTAATGGCAATTGTGAATCTATGAATCCTGTTTTTTGAAGGCTGAATATATAGAGGCTGATTGTATCAACTAGTGGTGGTTATGATTGATGAAATCAGAGTTACGTTTTCTTTGTTTGTTGATGAATTAATCATGTGTTGATTTGTGAGTTCCATGTACTAGAATCTGAGAATGTGTTAGGCTCTGTCCTGGTGATATTACACTGTGCTCATACCCTTTATCTTTACTTCCCTAACATACTCTAGGTTCTGCAAGTAACTAAAAACTATATATATTCACTCTATGAGTATGGTTGCATTTGAGTTGAAACTTTGGTAATGTGTTATCCTTTTTAGATTTGTATAAATGAACTGAGGGAAAGGGTCGCCAGTGGAGTTGATCCAAACAAGTTATACGAGAAGCAAGAGGAAAATGCTCTTCATTCTGATGATCAAGGTATGTAACACAGAACAGCTTTTCCTCTTGAATCTCAGTGATGCGAAATTGATATGAAAACAAGGAAAACACGTCTTGTGTAACGTTAAGTTCACTCCATTACAATCTTGTTTTGTTTGTGATGAAAACTCTTTTTTTTTTTACAGGTGACGTAGATATGGATCAGCCAAGTTATGACAATGAGAACATACCATCAAAGAAGACTGTAGATGCTGCTGATACAAATGCTGATGCTTTTCAGGACAGTATGTTGGACGAGATATTTGATACTGCAACGGATTCAAGACCTACTCAGAAGCTACCGAGCGATGAACAGAACATGAATCAAAGCAATGAACTCACTGAAGATCAAAAAGCACGTATGGAAGCTAATAGATTGAAGGCACTGGAGAGAGCTCAGAACATTTCCGAGGAACAGAGACTACGAATGGAAGCTAATAGGCTCAAAGCTCTCGAAAGAGCCAAAGCAAGGTTAGAACCAAACCAAGATTAGCCTTAGCTTCTATTACCAGATGCTCTTTGGGATTTTTGGTGTCTCTTGATTGTAATGTGTAACCGAATCTTTGACTTTTGGTTTGGTTTGGTTTTCTTAGAAGTATATTGCATGAATACACCATTCAGAAGAGGACAAAGATAATGAAAAAAATATATTTAAAATAGTGTGACTTGTTCTCTACCGTCCAATTTAGGTGGAGAAGATAAAATAAAAGTGGCAGCCAAAAAAAACATCGGTAGGGGGTAGTTTCGTCTTCTACATTCATCAACTTTTTATAATTAATTAAATAAATTTTTCACTGAATTTCTTGTATCTTTTGTGTGGAGGTGAGACGAGAACGCTTTTTAGCTTTTCGTCTCTCTCTCCTCTGTCTCTCTGTTTACACGATTCGTCTTCACATCTATGTCCATTGTCACTACTCTAGTTTTCTTGTAAGAGAGAATTACGGTTTGGTTAGCAGCGAATCATCGTAGAGTGATGATTGTATAATGTCTTATGCTCATCTTCACCATCATCTTCGGAGACATTCCTCTTCACGTTTATGGATTTTAACGCCGGAGTTCCTATGTCCTCTCTTTCACCTTTGATGAATCAAGGTCTCATCAATTTCTTCCTCTCTTTACCTTATAGCTTTGATCGGATTTTTTTTTTTATAAAAATTGTTTTAGTGGATTGGGTTTAATCTCTGAGTTCTGTTTCTCATCAGAGGCAATGTGGCAAATGAATTTGAGTTCAGATGAAACAATGGAAACAGGTTCTTACCCTGAACGACCAGGAGAGCCCAATTGTTCTTATTACATCAGAACTGGTCTTTGTAGATTTGGCTCCACTTGTCGCTACAATCATCCTCCTGATCGGGAACTGGTATGATTGCTCTTCTTTTTTCTGTGTTTCTGTGTTCAGTTTTGGAGTTTAGAGATCTGTTTGGTTGGATCCAAATTTGGAAGCTTTTGAGAGTGTTTTGATGTCACTTATATAGGTTATAGCCACTGCAAGGATGAGAGGAGAATACCCTGAAAGGATTGGTCAGCCTGAATGCGAGGTGATCAAGTCGCTGAATAATAAACCATTGTAGATTAGCATTTTCTCAAGCTGTTGTACCGACTAACTAACTTACATTTCATGTTGTATGTTTGGTGGGGTTTGCTTAGTACTATTTGAAGACGGGAACCTGCAAGTTTGGAGTAACATGTAAGTTTCATCATCCTAGGAACAAAGCTGGGATTGCTGGAAGAGTCTCACTCAATATGTTAGGCTATCCTCTACGCTCTGTATGTTTTTCTTTTCTCATTTCATCATCGCACCTCCCATTCTCTTATCTCTCTTAGTGATTCTCTCTTGTTGAATAACGCAGAATGAGGTTGACTGTGCTTATTTTCTAAGAACCGGACACTGTAAATTTGGTGCCACTTGTAAATTCAACCATCCTCAGCCTCTACCAACAACCAACGTCATGGTTCCTACCTCAGGCCAACAACAGTCTTATCCTTGGTCAAGTGCATCTTTTATCGCCAGCCCTCGATGGCAAGATCCTTCTGGCTACACCCCATTGCTTATGCCTCAAGGAGTTGTACCCGTTCAAGGATGGAACCCTTACACCGTAAGTTGTATCCAAAACAACACTGCTTAACTTTCCAGCTAATTTGCGTTTGATCTTTTATCGAATTTTTCTTCAGGCTCAGCTCGGCTCAGCTTCTCCTTCAGGTACCGGAAATGACCACACCAACTATAGAAACTTGCAGCAGACCGAGATCAACGAGTCAGGGTCTCAGTCTCAAGGGTCGTTCTCGGGTCTCAATACGGGCTCCTCTGTTCCACTAGGAGGGTTCTATGCATTACCGAGTGAAAACGTTTTCCCGGAGAGACCAGGACAACCAGAATGCCAATTCTACATGAAGACAGGAGACTGCAAATTTGGCACAGTTTGCAAGTTTCATCATCCTAGAGATAGACAAGCACCTCCTCCTGATTGTCTCTTAAGTCCCATTGGCCTCCCTTTACGCCCTGTAAGGCTGTTTTCAACAACTTAAAAAAAAAAAAGCGCATCTTGAATTAGATTAGAACTCAAATTCTAATTGCTTACTTGTTTTTGGATATAGGGAGAACCGTTGTGTGTGTTCTATAGTCGCTATGGAATCTGCAAATTTGGTCCAAGCTGTAAATTTCATCACCCAATGGGAGTATTTGCATACGACAACACAGCTTCAGAGACAGAAGAGGTTGTGGAAACATCAAGTGGACATTCCAGAAGAGTCTCAGTGTCTGAAACAAGACAAGCAACAACAACAACCTCTGGGGAAGACACTGCAAACTGATACACAGCAGTGAGTGAAGAAAAGAGCTTTGCGGGATCTGTAAATTCTCATTTTAAAAATCATTTTAATCTGAAGCATTTATTAATAATGTATAGAGGAGGTGATTATACAACTGATCTCTAATCTGATCGCCATTGTTTGTAATAATTCATTTGGCGAATCAGGTGAATAAATGTAATTTCCTCACATCTGGCTTTGGAGGAAATAATAAGGTAAATATATTGTATCTACCGGTTAAAGATCATCTGTTTAAGAATCTTCTTATTTTCAACCGGTTATCATATTATCTATCATACGTTGATTTTTCATACTACTTTTTTCAATTTCTAAGTCTGTTAACAACCCTCGTGTTCGCACCTTTCTTTTATTTTTGTCAAAGAGAGAAGAGCATGAATCTAATAGCTCCTCTACACCAAACTAAGCGTTGGTAATGAAATCGAATGACTCATGCCGAATCAGCTTTGAGGAAAAAAAAAAAAAGGTCCAGATCAGCGTCATCGTCACTACTTTTGTTGTCTTGTGAGGCTATATAGCCCAATAAGGATAAGTTTAGCCCAAACTAAATATTGAAGATAAAAGCCCAATATATTATTAAGCGGATTCGTTTTGCTTCAGTCAATGGGGTTGCCCTAAACAGCCATGACTATATAACTTATGTTTTCGTCAACACTTCCTTTCATCTCAGTTTCTATGAATTAGGGGTTTTGGTTGTGTTTGAAAGTTTCGTTAATTTTTAGTTTTCTTTTTCTTATAGAATCTCTGTATTTATGAGGTCATCTACAAAGCAAGATAGACTATAATTTTGTATCAATTTTGTGTCGGAAGATGACAAGATCAGTTCAATCAACCTCCATGACATAATCTTCATGGAAGTCTTTCCTCTTCCATGGAGTAGTTCTTCGGAGGAAACACTATTGAATGTTATCAAATTTGTTTTCTATATGTTTTGTGCTATGTCTATGTCGGAGAATCTAAGTTTAAAGTCATCTATAAAGCAAATAGGTTGTATCTCTGTACCGAATTTGTGTCGGAAGATGACAAGATTTAATCTGAACCTCCATAACAATTTTTCTTCGTGGAAATCTTCTATTCCATGGAGTTGATCTATGGATGTTCATACTAATTCAACTTATAATTATTTTGTATGTGCTGGCTGTGGGAAAATTATAAATTTTGTTTTCGATTTACCCTGCTGAGATAGCAGAAGAGTTAGTGGAGACTTCAAACTTGTGGCAACGACTGATTTGTAAAGACAAATCATTGAAACATAGCAGTAACAAAAGCTTATCATCACTATATAATATGTTGGTTTTGTTCCAGGCTTAAACATCAACCCCAAACTTGGTGATAATCGCACTAATTAGCCCTCCAAAAAAGAGAATTTTACAATTACATATACCAAACATTTGACTTCTACAAATAAATGGAAGATATATTTTTTTTTTAAAATCAAAAATGGAAGATGTATAGAGAATAATATTTCAGTAGATAATTTGGACCCGTTAAACACACAAAAATGAGAAGGTCTTAGCTAAAGGCCCATAAGCCCTTAAAAGTTTATCTTTTCGGCTCATACTGTATATATGATGTTGTAGCCCGGAGCACTTTTTTGTGTGGATTCAGGGCTGCGAATATTTTTAAATTTAATTGTTAAAATCATTTTAAAATTGGTTTTGATCAGGTCAATTCGAAGATGCCTGTCTGTACTTTGTACTCGTACCTATCACGTAAATATTATTTTGGATTAGAGTGTTACGTGTGAATTAACTATTTATATTGAAACATGATTGGAGAGAAACCATGACGCGGGGGAAAAGTAAACAAACACTGAAACACGGACCGGGAGACACAAATACGACCCAGCCCGAGTCCCACACGCCTTGGTCCAAAAGTCTTTCGTTTACTCGGTTTTTTACATGACGGTCTAAAAACAATCCTAAAAACTCACAGTTTAGTCGATTTTTAATTTCAATAATGACTATTTCAATAATGACTATTTCTTATTCACACAATTTGAGTCTCACACACGTTCTCCAGTCTCGAGGCCAATATTTCCCAGTCCATTCTAGTACTTGACGCTTTTGTAATTTGTGCTATTCGTTATACTCATTAACGTAACTTTTTTTTTTTTTTTTTGAACAGACTCATTAACGTAACTATTCCAAATACCTCAAGCTAAATTGATAACTGATGTATTAAAAACATAAAGTATACAATTAGTTAAGGGAAAACATGCGTGATGATCTATAGATTATTATAATACTGTAATGTTCTTGGTAAGATCTAATTACTAATCTTTCTTAATTTTATTTAAATTAAAAAAATAATAGTAATTAAATAACAGCTGAAAAACTTTAAAGTCACAAATCAGGACCTTGAATACTACTAATTGCAAAGATTTCAACGGTCAACATTCCAATACAGTTCACAAAGATTAATCAAAGTTTTCCATTTCATACCTTTTCATATTTCAAGCTTATACAACCTTTGACCACGTCCTCCTATGTATATATTAACTACCAAACCTCATACATGCATGTATATATATAAACACGTAAACAATCACCTTTACTTTTTATAAAAAACATCAAATATTTTTTTTAAAGAGGAAACCGAACAAAGAAATAAAGAAGAAGAGATTATGGTGCTACCATGGAGATCTAGAGGAGGAAGAAGAGCAGAGAGACGTAACCTATTGACTTCCGGCGTTACCCCCGTCGTGAAAATCAAAGTCCCGGCTCAACTCCGATCATCAGAAACCGAGCTGGTTCAGTCACCACGCGTGATGTTGTTAACACCGCGTGATGCGGCTGAGACATGTCGGAGACTTGAGAACGCTACCGCTCGTGAGGAAAATGCAGAGTGTTTTGAGATCGTTAGTAAAATCAAGAACTCGGTGAGAAACAACGGAGAGACGAACAAGAAGTGTTTGCTCCAATACGGAGTCGTTTCAGCGTTGTCTTCTTGCTTTCAAAGATTCGCGTCTACGTATGAGAAACACGCGCGTCTGTTGGAGGAAGTCTTGTCTGTTATAACTTCTTGGTTGCCTCTGAGTCGAACAGAGGGTTTCTCCAAGATGGGCTCAACGGCTTCCCTCAACACTCTCGTGCGGTTCCTAAACGCTCCAGACGCTAAAACGAGGCAAAACGCTGTGTTTGTCATCAGAGAGGTTATTGCAATAGACAAGAGGTTTGTCTACGCGTTGACAGACATCGAAGGAGCTTGCGAAGGATTAATAAACATCATCAGAGACTCTGTCTCCATAAGCTCGACGAAAGCAGCTCTTATGTCTATCTATAGAGTGATCTCATGTGACAACAAGACCACTACAACTTTCTTGAAGTTAGGTTTGGTCGCATTGATCGCAGAGATGATTATAAACAACGCGGAAAAGAGCGTTTGCGAGAGATGTCTCGTTGTTCTAAACGTTGTATCCGACAACGAGCAAAGCAGAGAAGATGTTTTTAGAAACGCTTTGATCGTTCCTCTTCTAGTGAAGAAGATCTTACGCGTTTCGGATCTCGCAACGCAATGCTCAGTCTCGATTCTCTGGAAGCTATGGAGAAATAACGAAGATAATCTATTGGTTGAAGCTCTTCAAGTCGGTGCGTTTGAGAAACTCTTAGTAGTTTTACAAGTGGGATGCGAGGAGAAGACTAAAGAGAGAGCTAGCGAGCTGTTACGGAACTTAAACCGATGTAGAAACAAGATCGAGAACACAAACTGTGTTGACTCTTCTATGCATTTGAAGAATGTCAAGAAGTCGTTTTAATAAAAAAATAAAATAATAAACAACATTCTTTTGTATTTACTCTGTTTTTGAATTATGTTTCAACGGTCAGATACAGTTTTTGTCCATCACTTATCAACTCTACATCAATAATTTTACCTTCATCTTCAGACAATACACAATAAGAAGCTTCCGGAACATTCAGCTGTTCTGCTGCGGTTCTTACAAGCTCCTCGATGCTTCGAGGCACCCACAATACGATCCCACGTCTTCTTTTCTCTTTTGATTCATTCGGATGTGAAGAATACACTGTACATTTCTTCTTATAGACTTTATCTGAAGATCATTCAAACAGCACGTTAATGTCTTAAAACATTCAATAGAAATATTAGTAGTTTGAATGTAAACTACCTTTTAGCTCTTTGGAGCTACTCAGAAATGAAGACATCTGAGAAATCTTGGCGTCTTCAAGTAGTTTTATCAACATCTTGTTTCCACAGCCTAGAGCTTCATCTAGAGGAGTATTTCCCCATCTGATTCAAATACAAATAACTGTTAATAAACAGCTATTTATTAGCTAAAATAAAGAATCCAAAAATATTATATAAATACCTGTCTTTTTTAAGAACATTAGCACCTGCTTCTACCAACTGCTTTGCTAAAAGATACAACCCTTCAGAAGAAGCAACATGAAGAGGCGTCCTCTGATCATAATCCTTAGAGTTAGGATCAATGCCGTTGTTGAGAAGACGTTTCAAGAAGTCGCTGTCTCCTTTCGCAACCACCGTGCAAAGGAAAGTCCCTGCGTTCTCTATGCTCAACGTTGCACCTTCTTTCACAAGCAACGCTGCAACACGGTCATTCCCGTTCTTGATTGCTTCTAGTAACGGCGTGTTTCCCAGTTTATCTTTGATATTTACATCTACTGATTCTTGAATAAGATACAATGTAATGTCTTCATATCCTCTAGAGGCTGCAAGATGCTGTTAAAGAAGACAAAAACATGTTATTATGTTTCAAAGTTTGGTTAAAGAAGCTTTAGAGGTATATACCAAAGGTGATCTTCCATCATAATCTGTTTTATTAGGGTCAGCCCCAGCTCGAATCAAGCTCTTAAGCTGGTAAAGATCACCGTAGAAAGCAGCACTGTTCAACTTCAAAGCTAGCTCTGCCTCTTGTTTACTAATATGAAATGTTATATCTGATTCAAGTTGCTTAACCCGGACATTAGATTCTTTCCCTTCAAGCAAATTGTTGAGTATCCTCCGTCCATCGTGGAAATATATCTCGAGTATGTTCATAAAAGATTGCTTATCTAGCCTTAGAATCCTACACAGCTCGGAAACTCGAACTGTGTAAGGCTGAGGAATGTTGCAGAGGATTGAAATCTCTCCAAAGGAGTTATCTGGTTGAAGTAGTGATACTATCTCTTCTGATCCATCCTTAGCTGTACCTATCTCCTCCTAAGTTTGAGTTACAAAAATCTTCTTTACGTACTTTTAATTTGAGACATTACTAAGCTTTTAATTTGATATTTGTTTACCAATACACCATGGCAAACGAAGTAGAGTTGATCAACAACGCTTCCTTGCTCCATTATTACTTCTCCTGGGAGGAAAAACTCTTCATGAAGTCTTATAACCTGTAAAAGACAACACAAAAGAAGTAATCTCTTGAGTTAAATGAAATAGAAAGTTTTTGTTTTCATATTATTACAGTCCAAATCAAAAAGTCTTACAATCTGGTTGATGAATTCAGATGAACAGCCACGAAAGAGAGGGACTTTCTCAATATACGACAAGTACAAAGTTTGAGCAATCTGCACTTCAAAAAACCATAAGTTTCTACATTTGCTTTACCATTTTAATCTGAAATTTTAATGAAAGCATCTGCTATTCATACCTTAGCGCGGATAGAGACAGGTATGTCTTGAAGAACAGCTGCTTCAGTGTAGCTACTTTCGTACTGCAACCTCAAATGTCCAGTGATCTGACCACGTATGTTTCTACCGAGTTTGTTTCGGTTCATGTACCTCATAATATCCGCCATCTTGTCCCTGAACCTCTCTGTTTTCGAACCTTTTACAATCAAAGCTGTCATGTTACCAATCAAGTAAGCTCCTAGAATCATGTCAAATGAAATGTAGGCCATTGCGAATATCATTTCCCGACTATTAACCGCGTGTATATCTCCATAACCTGCATCAACAATAAACGTCATAAACATAATAGATAAACATAATTTACATTCAGTTTTGGAATTTACCAACAGTTGCCATTGTGACAACAGCAAAATACATAGAAGTTGTGTAACGGGTCCAGAGATCGATCTCTCTAAATTTAGCGTAACTGTAGTCTCCCAGTTTCAAGCTACCAATCCAAGTGTACCCTTCTTGAGAAGCAGGTAGCGTGGTGGCCAAGTAATAGAAGATACAAGCTGCGGTGTGAGTGCAATAGAGCTCGACAAATATAAGCTTGATGATTCTTGTGAAAAGGTAATTGATTCTTATATCTTTCTCCATCCTATGGAAAAACAGGATCACTCTACGAACTCGATATAGTCTTATTAATAATAGGTATCTCACTTCTTCTTTTCCACCTGTAGCCTATTTTCAAATATACACTTTCATTATTTTTTCATCTGATTTTAGAAGTGAAATCAATTTATTTTTTAGTGTACCTTGTAGATGATATCCCATGGCATGCAAGCAAGAAAATCAATAATAAAAGATGATTTTAAGTACCTACAAAAAATGGTGTATTAACATGAATAATTAAAAGGTAATTTCTTTAAGCAAACAACGTAAAAACAGAGGAGAGAGCAGTTAATAGTACCGTAAAGCGATGGAACTGCGTCTATATACCATTCTGTAAGTTCTGCTATCTCTATAAGCCACGAAGAATGTTAGCACAATATCGACTAAGAAAGCGATTTGGCCAAGGATGTCGAGGATGAACAGATTCCCTGGTAATCCCCTGAAGAATCCGAACTCCAATGGAGTGAAGAAGGAAGAGTAAAGTGCCCATAACACTATGAACATTGTCCACGCCTTGTAGCATCTGCAAATCGATTAAAATCTAATTATCAACCTTTGAATTTCGATTTAATATTTTGCAGCTACAATAAACTCATGAATAACAGAGTATTCTTCAGTTAGAATCAGTCTCAGTTGGTTAGCCAACGGTTATTTGTGACCATTGAGAAACTGATTACGTGGCATTAAGTGGCGGGAAAATGGATGAATAAGAATAAACCACACTCATGCCCCTAAGGTTTTTGTTTCACTATAATTGACCCCAAACGTTATTATACAAATACTAGATTAGGACTCAACCATCCATCATCTAAGTGGGATAAATAAATTAAAGTCAAAATGTAAGGACTACTTGTGTAATGATAAAATTAAAAGGGACTTGGAACAAAATGTTTAAAACATATGACTGGTTATGAATTATTACCGGTTATCAGGATGAACAACGGAACCTCTGGAGATATCTCTGATTCCGTTAATAACGGTGAACTTTCCACCGTTACTGCCGGTGAAATCTAATCCTAAGAAGTTCGTAAGGGGGTTGAATCTGTTTCCTCGCGATTCTACAATCCCTTCTCCGAAATCATCATCCACCTCGTAATCTTCCAACTCCACGTCCGAGTCGACGTCGTCGCTCCGGTACGAAACTCCACCGCCGCTACTACCTCCCATTACCTCTTAATCACCGGATTATTATCGAAGATTTTATGAAGAAGAAGAAGAAGATAACCTCTCTCTCTCTTCTTTTCTCTTGTTTCCTTTTATTTTTGTATGAATATTCAGTTACGTCTATATTTGGCGGCTGAGTTTTCAACTTTTGAAAATGATCAGATGTGGAAAAGAAATAGCAACTTGAGTTATTTTGATGAACAATAACATCTAAGCGACGAAATTTATAGACATTTCCGGTTTTGTTTTTTGGGAAGTGCTTTTATGAAAATAATTATTGTTCTAAAACGTATATGGGTTTAGTTACAAGACTTAATTAGCTACGTTATAACATTTGGACAAACTAAAAGAAAGGTAATGATGATGTAGTGTCTATACAAAATAAATACCGTTGATTGCATGAAGAGCACGTCAAAGTGAAGACGACCAAAGTCTTATTTATAACCATAAGTTATGGATAGATAACCAAGTCATTAAATGTTACAACATGGCATAAAGTTTCGTGATGATTGGCAAATTGCGTTTACAAGCTCTACAAGTCGCTCATCTGATCATAAAGGTTTTATTTATAAAGACGCTAGTTGTGGACATTTTGGTCTTATGATGGATAGACTCTAAACTGAATTCCCGTTGTGCTGACACTTTAGCAGTATAAAATTCACGTGAAACTTTTTAAACCATATTATTAGTCAAAGACTAGATAATGTTATTTAGGGGGTTCTGACTATTTTTATTAGGTCAGAACTAGAAGTAACTAGTTCATGCTCTAATGCTAGATCAGTTTATACCAATTGTGCAACGTAACAAGCTCTGAAAATATAATAAGCTTTGAGAATTCTCCATGACAAGTTGATACGGATTCTAACACAGGACTGAATGTTTTACCAGAAGAAACATTGACTTATTTCAAACATGTTGAGCTCTCCAATCAACAGCAGAAACCTCGTCATCCTCATCATCGCTGGGCGATTCTTCTTCAGTCTTCTTTGGCTTTTTAACTGACCCCTCAGAGGATTTGCTGCGCTTAGCTAACCTAGCTGCTTTCAATTCCATCTTCCTCTTCTTCAAAATCTCCACTTTCTCTTTGTATGATCTGCAGAAGAATTAAGAAGGCCAAGTATTTACTTAATCCTAAACAATTTTCAACTTTAATCATCTTCTTGCTATAACAAAATTGTGGCTGAAATTACCTTTGCTCTCTTTGTTCCTCCTCTTCTATAGTTTCCGCAGCATCAACCTGGAAATCATAGTGCCAAGCAATATTTAAGTTAATAAACAGAGCTTAGATGAGGTCAAACAGTGTTGTTATCATGTGACAGAAAATTATCTGACCTCTTCTTCTTCCATGCGACTATCCACTACTTGCAGATCCTCTTGTATCAACTTCTCAAACTCTTTATATTCGTCCCTGCAAAAAAAAAAAAAAAGAATCCATGTTTATATAAGTTCACCAAGAAAATGCTGTGCTACAAAGAGTTTACTGCCAAAATAAGAAACTCACTTAATATCTGGTTTGACGAGCTTTATTCCACGGGCAAGCAGGTCAGCTTCCTTATTATCGAAAAAACCAGTGGGAAGGGCTCCTTTCACCACTGTACCAGTCGTCTGTGTCTGACTCTGTTTAGGCTCACTGGTGGGTTTGATATCTGAAGAATCAGTTTGCTGATTATCGAAGAACCCGTCTGGAAGAGGTCCTTTAGTCTTATTTGTTTCTGAACCTACTATAGCCTGCTTTGATTGATGTACATTCTTAGGTTTTGAAGATTCAACTTCTGCAGATTCTGAACAAACATAGTTTACTAATAAGTTTTGTGCCACAATAAAAAAATAACCGAAACTCAATCAAAGTACCATTATTTCAAAACATAACAAAACACAGATAGTCTAAAATAAGAGATGTATTCGTTACAACTTTCAGTAGTAGAGAAAAAAAAAATCTGAAACGCAAAGGAAAGAGCATTAGCCATTACCAGGATGTTTAATATCAGACTCAAAGAAATTTGGGGGAAGACCAGATGATTTAGCTGTTGAACTTTCAAGTTGTGTTGGCTTAGTTTCAGCAGGTTTGCTGCTACCCCGTTGAATCCCCGCTGCACTAGCCTTTAAATTATCGATAGCCTGTCCCAAAATTGAGTTGAAAAAGACAAGATTATACAATATAAACAAAGCTAACGACTATATATAAGTTACAAAAGTCACACACACCAGTATTCAGCAGCACCAAAATAATCCATAATACAAGAGCATGACTAGTGTTAACTATTAACATCAAGTTTCGCATTGTTACACACTATTTATATTACCTCGTGATGCTTACGAGAAGCTTGGTGGACATCCCATAGTGATTCAGACTTCAACACGACATTGCACACTCTACACACAGGCTGCTCCGATTCGTTGTACCTGCAATATCCAATCCCCAAATAAGATTTGTTACAACGTAAAAGCTCGAGCCTCACTCCAGCTCAGTAATTGATATGGAAACAAAGAGAGGGAAGGGTTTTTAATACCTAACGAGAGGAGAATCGATGCGGGAGTCTTTCTTCTTGGCGTTGAGTTTAGATCGGAACAACGCCTTCTTCTTCGCCTGTGCATCCATCACCTCCTCCTCCGATTTAATTAACTCACGCAATGAAAAGATCTGAGAATCGCACAGAAAAACCGGTTGAAAGATTTCACCACAACCTATAGAGAGAATGAGAATTACTCTCCTTCCCTTCTCCTCTCCGCAAATCAACTCTCTTTTACGGGTTGGGACGATCCGATACGGGTTTGGACTTGCTACTTTCGGGCTGATTCTGGGCCTGGCTCGTTATCTCTTTTCTTTTAGGTACTTAAGTATGGATTATTGACAAAAAAGGACTTAAGCTTGTCCACTTAATAACAAGTTGACACAACTTATTTTAGAACTCAGAACTGAACATGATTTTGTGAAGACAACCTAATTACAAGTTTTGCATATCATCCATCATCTTAGAATAATAATTATTATTATTAAAAAACCGAAATGTATATTCGGTACCAAATATATAGAGTTTTAGAATGATATCATAAAGGAGACATAACCCCAAAAGGAAAAAAATTGGTTATGATATAGTTCTAAAAAGAAATGCTTTACTTTGTCACAGTAATGATATAAAGGTGTGACCATAAGCAAAGAATAGAATAACTTTCACACATTTGTAAGCCGCAACGCCTCCACGAACAACTCCTTGAGTGCAGCGTTTGACGCCGCAATTCTCTGCGATGTGATGTCCAACTCTTTACCCGATCTGACCATCACAAACATAAGTTAAAAGCTTGGTCCGCTGTTGCATAGTGTGTATTGGCTTTATCTTAAAAAAAAAAACAAACTCTTACGGATCAAAAATAAGTCCACCAGCTTCTCTAACAATCACAATTCCTGCTGCAATGTCCCTGTAAATTCATATAAGATCAAATCTTGTTAACCAAACATTTGTGTGATATCTAACCAAAAAAAAAAAGAAGAAGACATTTTACCAAGGACCGCCAAAACCGATTTCATAGAAGATGTCACCCCTTCCACAAGCGACACCGCAGAGGTCCAGTGCGCATGACCCACCCATCCTCAGGGACCTAACCTGATGTATCAAACGGAAGACAAGGATCATGAATTTTTTATAGAGATGTTGGAATCCAAATAAAGGAGTTTTCCCTCAAATGAAGTTTCACCTTGGTTAGCAAACTGTTGATCCGGTTGGTAGCATCGTCCAATGTAGCTTTATCACGCTTAGTTCCCGCCTGTACTCATATAAGTGATGAGCGGATGTGTTCACAACAGTATAGCGTGACACAACAAGGGAGACAGTTAATACCTCTGCTAGGAGCAAAGCGGTTACAAGCTCACTCTGAGTTGACACTGCAAAAAAAAAAGAATCATTTCTTGACCAACAATATCTATACACTGCATGGTGTGAAAGAAGTATGTATATAAAACCAAACCTTTGATAGGTTTGCCATTCAAGAAGGCTCCTTTCCCTTGGACACCGGTGAACAGCTGTTTTATCATTAGATATTATGTAAAAATTGAGAAACATCACCGTGCTACATTCATGTCCAAAGCATTATCAAAGGAAACTATCCATGATGGTAAAATAGGCATCGACAAAAGAAACTGGGAGTAGAGATTGCTACAATGTAGCCATGAGGAGGGTCTACACACAGTTATTTACCTCATCCATAATAGGATTAAATACGACGCCAACAACAGGGACTTTCCCAATAGTAAGTCCAATGGAAACACACACAAAAGGGAACCTACAGAGACAACATTCGGGTTTTTTTTTCTTTAATGAACTGTACAGAACGAAATAAAAGAGTAATTCAAATGGGAATCGAGCAAAAACACACCCGTGAACGAAGTTAGTAGTTCCATCAAGAGGATCAACAATCCAAGTAGGTTCGTCAGTTAATTCAGTCATACCATTTGCAGCTGTTGTTTCTTCTCCTATGAACTAATTCATAATAAAATGCTAAAACGATCAACACAATGATGCGATGCAAGGAAGAAGCTAACAAAAAGAAAAGAATAAAGACCTTGTGATTGGGGAAAAGCTGCTTGAGATGATTAAAAACGAGTTCTTCACATCCTTTATCAGTCTCTGTCACCAGATCCACCTAAACAAAAGCAACTTCAGTAGCTATAAAAACATGCCGACATGTTTTAAGGAAACCAATATTGTGACTGTGAGACGAAAACAAAAACCTGGCCTTTATGTTCAACATGTTTGGTCTCGTAAAAGCCTTTACGAATCACCTGCACAAGGAAACCCAAATTATGATTAGCCACTCGTTGATCAAACTCAAGGGAGAGAATAAAGAGAGAAACCTGTCCAGCTTTTTGAGCGGCATCAATGGCGGCAGACAAGAACTGATCTAGCGAACCTTCATCAAATCAAATGTCACACAACAGCAACAAAACAACAATAAAGTGAGAAATGAGGAAAATCAGAAAGAATCAACGGAAGAGAAAGAATGTGACTTTTTACCATTGTCAGCCATTTTCGATGATTGAAGGAGAGTGCGAGAAGAATAACGCTTTGGTGTTTCTGGGTGATTCTGAGAGGAAGACAGAAGATACGAGAAAAAGTTAGCGGTTTTTATTGGTTGGCTATAGAAGCGAATATTCGGGGAATCTAATCCTAATCAAGCTTTTTCCATAAAAGTTTTGTTCTTTCACCTTTTTAGATTGAAATGCGACACCCCCATTAATCAGAATCGGAAATGAGATCGAAGCTACAAAGATTTGATCCTCCCTCCATCGTTTCCTCTCGGGCCAATTCGAATGGCCTTTGGGCCTGAGGCTCACTATATGATACATTATCGTATTAGCAAATTAATTATTACAGGATCGATCACTAGTCTTTCTTATTTATTCTCTGTCAAGAGGCTTTGGTTATGTGTTTGAAATACATGTTGGCGTCTCAGTCTTGTTTTAATAAGAGTTATAATTTGATCCGAGATTGACCATTGAGGTCATCAATCGTAATTCGTAAGTAAAGATACGCAACGTTTGGAAATTGAGCATTGTTATTTTTTTTTTGGAACTAGTGAAGATGTAACTTGTGAGCAGCCATCTATCACAAACTACTACTTCATGCGGTTGTTTTTGGTAAAGTGTTTTAAACATTAGTGGTAAATGGTAATATTGTGTTGTTCTAAAGCAAAATTTACATTACTATATTTTCGTACTACCATTTGAAGTAAATGTTCTATTTCTTAATCCCTTTATTATTAAAAGGGAAACAAAATAAAATAGTAACCTTTAAAATGTAATATATTTATTTGTATGCCATTTGCTGATGTGTCAGTTTGAGAAATCACCTCAGCCCCTTTTTATATCAACATTTTCTTATCTAGATTATTTACAACACATTACCATTGGTAACACTATTAAATAAATACATTAATATTTGAAACCTATGATATTCTATTCTTCGTAGACTCCTCTAAAGAACATTGACAACACGTATTTTACTCAGCTATTAAGGAATATAGAACCAATTACAAAAAAATACTACAGTCGAGACTTAAACCTAAAATCATTTTGCTAACAAAGAATAATTGTATTTGCACTTGATAGGGTTCTTCTGTTTTCATTATCGTGATAACAGTAAACCATAATGCTCATATTTTTTTAATGACAAGGGTAGTCCATCTTTGTTTGCATTGCAATGCATCACGATTAATTTGTTTAACCGAAGAATTTGTCTCTAATAGAAGAAATGTGATCTAATGGACTTCCAATTCAAATAAAAATTGTTAACCGAGCTTTTTTTTTTGGTAATTACCTTCAACCAGTGAGATAACCGAGCTTTTGTTAACACTATATGAGACGAGTTTTTATTTTATAGCATTATAAGTCTCAAGATAACTTAACTAAAGGTAACTTATACTCACAATATCTCTAACATAAAAAGGTGATATATATTGCATACTTCAAATATACATAATTGTTTATGGTTAATTATCTATATTGTAAAATGGCATATTTTCTTAAACTTACTGATTACATCGTTACAATGCCAATTGTATTTCCACTTTATTTAAGTTTTTTGAAACTTATTATAAGAATTTTCAACCAAAGAAAGGTGATCTATATGGCATATTTCAGATATTTATATTGTTTATGGTTCGTGGTTTATAATCTATATTACGAAATGGTTTACGGTTTAATCTTGGGACCACAACCACGTGTTAACTATTTTGATCATATCAGTGTTAAATGTAAGAAATAAAGTGAATAACTGATTTTATATTTTATATATACAGAAAACAATGTTTACGTGTTCTGCAATCCAATATTTGCTGGACTCATAACTATGCAATATAATCTTTATGTGTTTCAAATGGAATAATCAACCGGCATACCTTCGAGTGCTATGCAAAGATATTAAGTGGGAGTTATATCATATTTTTTTTTAATGACAAAGAGTTTCCAAATTTAAGAGATTTTTGTCAATCACGCATTCATTTATATGGTTTAGTGTCAATCATGGTTCATTGTTATGACATTACTATATCACCGGAATTATTATAGGAAAGTTTTGAAAGTTAACTTACTACATCACAGGAATTAGTATAGGAATTTATTCAAATTTAACTTATATAACTTATATTAACGAATATTCTCTTCGATATTGATACATTTATGGTCTTATATACACCTTCCTTTGTGTTTCCTTTGGAATCAATGCCCTAAATACCTTGGTGATACTAATACACAAGTCAGTGCAACCTAGGATCCGCTACTACTCTTTCTTCTGTCTACGATTAACTCAAGCAAACTCTTAAAATGTCGAATTTTGATGCATGTTTTTCATTGTCAATTTATCAGTTTGTATATAAAATTATTAAGTTGTAAACTATATGTAATAAAATGTTTTATATTAATTTGATAATGTAATATAATTCTCATCCCGCACAAGGTGCGGGTCTTAACCTAGTCTGTGTTTATTTGGTATCATTTTTTGTTTCATTCTTCTTATTACTTGAATTCCAGTAGATATGTCCTGGATATATGTGTTGTGTAATAACAATAAGTAATTTGTTAACACGTGGGTTAATTAAGAACGTGTATATATCCTTCCTTCTCCATCTAGAAGTCTTCACTCTTCACCTTCTTCTTCTGAAAATCATGAATTTTTCAGGGGTTTTCTTTCTCTTATTCTTTCTTCTGTCTCCAGCTCTGAGCTATTATGGTTCAGGGTCGGGTCTCGAGTCACTCGCTCGTGGGATGCTAGACTCAGCTAAGGAACCAGAGTTCTTCGAATGGATGAGAGGAATCAGGAGGAGGATCCACGAGAACCCGGAGACAGGGTTTCAGGAGTTCAAAACGAGTCAACTCATTCGAGACGAGCTTGACTCGCTCGGAGTGAAGTATAAATGGCCCGTGGCGAAGACTGGGGTCGTTGCTTGGATTGGATCCGGTTCGAAACCCGTTTTCGGACTCAGAGCCGACATGGACGCACTTCCCTTACAGGTTTGTTGTTTGTTTTTATTTAAGGAATCTTAATAAAATTTTAATTTTTTTTTGAAATTGCGTTGACTAATTAGTGTGAAATTATTGATGGAGAAAAGGAATTAGTGGAGTGGGAATCGAAGAGTAAAGTAGATGGAAAGATGCATGCTTGTGGTCATGATACTCATGTTGCTATGCTTCTTGGTGCTGCTAAGCTTCTTCAGTCCAGAAAACACCTTATTAAGGTCTCTCTCTTTCTCTTGCTTGATTCATTCTCAATTTGAGATAGTGATTCTAACCTCTGTGTGTGTGTGAGCTCTTTGATTAGTGTATACCCGGCAATCAAAAATGTCAACTTTTTGTAAGTGGGCCATTCAATAGTGTTATGTTATGAATGAAACAATAGTTCAATGTGTTTACACAATAGTGACATGTTCTGATTGATTTAATGTTATCCTAGCTAATTAAAATGTGAAATTTCTCATATTTTGATTTGGTTATTTTTTTTATATTCTGAGCGAATGAAACTTTACTGTGTTACACGCAATAGTAATATGTTTGATTGGTCATATTCTTATCTGGTGAATCTTTGAATGACCACCCAATCTCTTGCGTGTTTTTTCTTTGGTAAAGGGGACTGTGAAACTTGTGTTTCAACCAGGCGAGGAAGGCTATGGAGGTGCAATTGAAATCCTAAAAGACAACATTCTAGACGACTTAGATGGAATTCTCAGTGTACATGTCTTTCCAACAATCCCTTCTGGTGGTATCGGCGCTAGGCCTGGTACCGTTCTTGCAGGTGCAGGAGTGTTCACAGTCACAGTCCACGGTCAAGGTAGCCACGCAGCTACACCACACTTGTCTAAAGACCCGGTTCTTGCTGCTTCTTCGGCCGTTGTCGCCTTGCAACAGATTGTTTCGCGGGAAATGGATCCTCTTGAAGCTGGTGTAAGTTTTTTTAAACATCATCTTGTTTGATAAAATCAGATTCAAGACAGGAAATGTTTTTTTTCAGGTGGTTACAGTTGGTTACATTCACGGAGGCCATACTCAAAACGTAATACCACAGTCTGCAAAGTTTGGTGGAACTTTCAGAAGCTTAAGCAACGATGGACTTCTATTTATCCAAAGACGAATCAAAGAGGTAATGAGATTATAGTCTACACATTGTTCTTTACAGTCTTGCTGACAATGATGATGGTGTAGATCTCAGAGGCACAAGCCTTGGTGTACCAATGCAAAGCAGAAGTAGATTTTGGAGAGAAAGAGCCTGCACTTCACCCTGTAATGAAGAACGACGAGGGGTTATATGAGCATGGAAAAGAAGTAGCGGAAGCGATGATCGGAAAGAATAACTTCCATGATTTTCCGGTGACAATGGGAGCAGAGGATTTCAGCTTCTTCACTCAGAGGACTAAGGCAGCTATTTTTGTGCTTGGGATAAAGAATGAGACGTTAGGAGCTGGTAAGCCGCTTCACTCGCCTTACTTCTTTGTTGACGAAGAAGCTCTTCCTCTTGGAGCAGCTCTTCACGCAGCTATGGCGGTGTCTTATTTGGATAAACATGGTCATGGTAATGATGTTAAGACCGAGTTATAGAATGTGTTGAAGAGGTCAGCGTTTTAGTAATTTGGAATAATCACCTACTTGTATAAGTTTGGTGGGGGGTTTATCGGTTAAGGTTCGGTTTGTTAAGAATTTATTTAACAAAATCAATACTACATTTTTCTAAACAAACTAGATCTTGACCCGCGCACCGGCACGGATTTAACTTAATTTGAGAAAATGTAATAAATTT